ACCAGCCCTCTCTGGTGTGTTCACCAGCACTCTCGCGTGTTCATCAGCTCTCTCGCGTGTTCACCAGCTCTCTCTGGTGTGTTCACAAGCCCTCTCTGGTGTGTTCACAAGCTCTCTCGTGTGTTCACCAGCACTCTCGCGTGTTCACCAGCTCTCTCGCCGTGTTCACCAGCCCTCTTGCCGTGTTCACCAGCTCTGGTGTGTTCACCAGCACTCTAGTGTGTTCACCAGCCCTCTCTGGTGTGTTCACCAGCTCTCTCGCGTGTTCACCAGCTCCTTCGCGTGTTCACCAGCTCTCTCACCGTGTTCACCAGCCCTCTTGCCGTGTTCACCAGCTCTCTGGTGTGTTCACCAGCACTCTAGTGTGTTCACCAGCCCTCTCTGGTGTGTTCACCAGCTCTCTCGCTTGTTCACCAGCCCTCTCTGGTGTGTTTACCAGCCCTCTCTCGCGTGTTCACCACCATTGTGGTGATTCCTGTGTTGCGTGTACCTCCAAAACCGCTTGAAATGCAGACCGATCGTATCAACACCAAAGGGCAATTGGCTGTCAACGTCTTTTTGTTCCTTGACTGGACAATGCATCCAGGCGTGCCGACTGATAACTTTGAAAGGGCATTGACGGTGAAAATTCAGCCCGGACCGTCCAAAAACCTGTTGGGCCTTCATTCACGTTTTGTTGGTGGAAGATAATTTTCTGCCGATAATTTTCCATGCAAATTCAAAGTATTTTATATTCTTAGCAATCCAGTTTGGGTGTTTTCACCAAAATATTGCTGGAACCTTCCACGCGCTCTATCTCTCTCTTTCAGCCCCCCACCCGCCACCAAACACTGCTCATCTGTGATGCCTCCTGTTCCTGCGAGTAGCTGCTGCACCATAAATAAGACAGCCCTCCTCAAGTGTGTGGAGCCGTGGAATCACTTCCCCACAGACCAACGTAGATGCCATGGGAAATGCCCAAGATTAAATTATCCTGTCGCTTGAGAAGAGGAATGGTCCAGGCTGACCCGCGTGGCCTGCTTTGTTATAGTCATGTCGCCCCCGCGCAGCGGATTTCGGATGCCCATAGAATTCTCGGATGCCCATAGATTTCTCGGATACCGGATTTTGCCTCGCTTTACGCCAGGGGTGGGCAACGTCCGGCCAGCCCGCGGAATCATTTGGTCTCTGGCCCTGCCGAGGCGAGCGCACGACTCGAAATTCAATAAATCTTGGAGCTTTTTTCATAGCAACATAAATTTCATTTTGTATGGCCCGCGAATGATGTTATAAATATCCAAATGGCCCTCGGCAGAAAAAAGGTTCCCCACCGCTGTTTTACGCGGCCGCAGTCGCGGCGGTACATGCGTACGGCACGAGACGGCTGGCGTGCCGAGTGGCGCGTGCAGTACGTTACGGCACGCAAGGCTGTCCAACTTCCGACCGCGTAATATTCGCACATGGGTGAATTCATAGGGGCAACACTGGCATGGCGAATTTTGGTTCTAAATAGGCTAGCCGCTATACACGTGTGTGTGCGTGTGTGTACACGCGAAAACGCGCACGCGCACACACACGCACCGAACCCGCGTAAAGCGAGGAAAGCCTGCATTGGGAATTTGTGCCACGCCGATGGGATTTCGTGCGGCTGGACATCGCGAGCGCATCCCTCTTCGTCCGCTGTTCAGCCGAGCGTTTTAATCATTCCCACACTGTGCGTTTTCTCTGCCCCCCCCCGCCCCCACTCCGAGCGAGCGTTGGGAGATTGTTCGATCGCTTTTACAAGGAAACTGGAATCGTTTTTCTGTCGTGTCGTCGCGTTTTTTCAGCTTCCTAAAATGTCATTCATTTCATCGGAGCGAAAAAAAAGTATTAACGTTTTTTTCTGGAATTATACGGAGCAAGCTATGTATTGGACTCATCAGTGTTACGAGTTGTTATTATCGATTGGTGACAAACGACCGGTACGAAGACGCCGTCGCCGCGTAGACAAAGCGCGCTGTACGCGGTGTGTGTGTGCAACAAACCGTCAAGAGTTTCACATTGTGGGGTTTTTTATTTATTTAGATACGTAGAGACCCACAGAGATGCGTAGAGACCCACAGAGATGCGTAGAGACCCATAGAGATACGTAGAGACCCGTAGGGATACGTAGATGTTCACAGAGATACGTAGAGAGATACATCGAGGCTCAGTTACATGTAGACCCATAGAGATGCATAGAAACTCGTAGAGATACGGCGGTATACATTACAGGCAAGCTACAGGAGTCTGCGCTCCTTCAACGGAGGAGGAACAGCAAAAACGACACGAACTCTCTCTCTCTCTCTCTGCTGGCAGGCCCCAACGGTGGCATCTGGCTTCTCTGAACACAATATGCCATACGCAGGCAGAGGTACACGTAGATACACTGATACGCAGGAGATACGTAGAGACCCAGACACGCACTAAAGAAAAGCCATAGCACGATTGTGGCCATGCAACCCAAACTATTGGCCATATAGTAAACCCACGGAGACTCATAGAGACCCATATATATGTACTTTAAAGGCGAGCCACGATCGTGAGACCGTGGCCATGCAAACCCAGACAATGGACCGTGCAGGTAAACCACCGGAGTCCCTACGCTCCTTCAACAGTGGGAGGGGGAACAGCGAAGCTCCACCAAGTCTCTCTCTCTGCTGAAGCCCTCTCGTCGTGGCCAGCAGTAGCCCCGTGGACATTTACCTCCCTGAACATACAGCGTGCTTCAAAAAAATGTTAACACTTATAATAATAATAGGGGTGTCCCCCTTTTTTCTGGCAACAAAACTGAAACCTTTTTTTTACGAGGATTCATGTTGCTGCATTAACCACAATATTTGCAGTCAAAAAAAGGGGAAAACCCCTATTATTATATTGTGGTACTGGCAAGGGAGGAGGTCCAATGATGTTAACACTTATTGGGCACTATCGTTTTTTTAATGGGGAAAAAGAATGGATAATAATACACCGAAACGCGCTATCAAATGTATGTTCATGGCTTCAGAAAGTCAAATAGTCTCTTAACACAACTGTTTTATTGCCAGAAAGGGTCAAATCTATTCTCAGTCTCCACTTGTTCGCCATCACTGTCAACGCCCATGCCTGGCACCTTCTCCAGGTTGGTCACCAGAGCCCAGGGGGAGGCACATTTCGTGTGGTCTTGTTGCAAATTCACAGAAGCGTTAAACATTTTTGTTGAAGCCCCCTGTATATATATAACGCACTCACACGTCCTGCTGGCTCCCGAAGGCGGGAAACCCCCTGGACAAGCCACGCCCCCCCCCCCCAGCGTGACGCATTTGCGTTTCGACAGTTCGTTGTGACGTGGGGACTGTGTCTCGTTGTCTTGGGGGGCGGCGGTGCGGTAGCGGTTAGCGCACCGCGCGCTACATAGGCAAGAGAAGAGCGAGTAACCTGTGTGTGTGCGCGCATGTGCAAGGAGTGGGGGGGGACCTTCGGCCACCTTCGGCCACCTCCAGCTTTGCGAGGTGCTCTCGTTTTGCCTCGCCGTGAACTTTACAGAATTGCCCGCTCACGTCCGGTCAGCGCCACGTTCTGCCAGTTGGGCAGTTTTACAGCAGTGCAGAACCAAAGGAGTCGTCCGCTAATCAATGAAATAAAACCCAACATGTGAAACTCGGTTTATTATAATAATTTTTTTTCATCATTTTAAAAGAATGAGTGCGTACGTTGCAGGTTTACGCGCGTTGCACGTAGGTGCTGTGCGCGTGCCGGGTGGCGGTGGCGGGGGGGGGAGCGGTAACGCGGCGGTGAGCCCGCCGCCGCTACGAAGCCGACAAGATACCCGAGTTCGGTTCCCGCTCGCGGCCAACACCGCTGATGATCATCTGAACGGGGCCCCCCTCGGTCGAGTGAGTGCCTGGGTGCGATTGTTTGAAACATCGTCACCCCCACCCCCACCTCGTCGTGCCGTGCCGGCCTTAATAGGTGCTGCTCGCTAACAGCACTTGCCCCCGACGGTCTGTTGAGGCTATACGGCGAGGGGGGGCAAATCTTTATCTTTGTGTACATATGAATTCAGGAACGTTAATCAAGACGTCAGCTGTGCGATGAAAACCCAGCTTGTAATCTTAATATATAAGCAGATATTTATATCGCTATTATATCCCAAATGCCGTTGAATAAATCGTGATCTTGCTTATGTAAGTTTGTGCAAGCCGAGTTGTATTACTGCCTTTAAAACAACAACAGAAGAACGAGGACTCGGCTCACGTATTTAATGTCCGACCTTTATTGTGTATACCTCATTCATGTAATCGCTATATTCAGGACCGCTTAAAATTGTAAATACATGTACCACTTAAATTTCAGTATTGAAACAAATGTAATTAATCTGCGCCGTACAAATAAAGATTTTAAGTCGTCTTTGTCGTTTCTCGAACAATCATTATTGCCTTCTGGATTCGAGAGAGAAGATTCCATGCCCCCCACCCACCCACCCCCTCCCGTGCGGCAGATGCACGTCGTGAAAATCGGCGATGGCCGCCCGGCTGCGCTCGCCCACCAAGCGAAACCGAGACATCGATGTCATTTTCGTCGCCTGACTCGGGGGACTGCCTTCAGGCGCGTACGGCAGTCACGGCTTGAATGCGATGCGCTGGTATTGCTTCACCGAGGTTTGAACAAAAAAGTGGAGGGGCGCAGCGTTGTGCTTGTTGAGGAAAGGTTTCGATCTGCGTGCTTTTTTTTTTTAACCCCGCTCATCAGACGGATCGGGACGCACGACCGCGGGGCGCAAGAAACCGAGAGAGCGCAGATGTCCATGCTTGAGTTACAATGAAAAACACGATTAACGCGTGGCTCACGATTGCTAAATTTGACAAAATCGTTGAATGTTTAAAGAGTAAGTACAAGAGGTCGTGGGTTCGATCCCGTCCCTGACGTCTGCCGTATATATTTGGAGTTTGCGTGTCTCTCTCTCTCCCCCCCCTCCCGTGCTCGCGTGGATTTTTCTCCAGGTCCTCTGGTTTTTCCCTCCACACGCGTTCAGAGTATTTGGGTGCTATCAATTCCCACGTGATAATAAGCCACTTCGTTGAGCTATCATTTGTGGCCAGGTCGCCTCTGAGCATTACCTAGTAAAATATACAATTTTAATTTAAGTGGGAGCTTGGGAAAGCCACATCCCGTGAGGGGTGGCTGGCCAACAATGGACGACGTTGAGACTGCCGACAGAATGACACAGGATCGAACGTGACCACCGCAGGGACTGGGCACATTCGAGTTCGGCTCGCGTGGGAGTGGGGGATGGATTGTGGCACCGCAGGGACCGTGAGAATGGTGGCGACGGCGTGGGCGACACCTCGATCGGACGGCGGGGGGGGGGGGGGTCACAGGGTGAGGAGTCCTTCAGCAGTGGATAGACCATGGGCTCATCGTGAAGGTGGTTGATGGTGGAACATTGCGGCTGGGTTATTTAGTCAATGGAAATGGCTTTTTGTCAACCAAAACAAAATTCTCGACACAAATCAGAGCCCCGCCCCGCCCCGCCCCGCCCCCCGCCCCCCATACCATGCCCCACTTCCTGAACACGGGAGCGGTTGGTGGTACGCGCGGGCAGCCGGGCAGCCGAGGGGTGCAGTGTCGGGGGGTGGGCGCCGTGCTTACTGCGCCAGTCCACGTCGTCACTTGAGGCCACCAAGAGGGCGAGCTGGAGCAGCGGCACCACCTTGACGGTGGACAGATCGGCCAGCACGGCCTGCGAACGCAACGGGAGAGACCCCCCCCCCCCCCCGGCCACGTAAACAACTCCACCCGTTCTAGATTTGAAGCTTTCGTGACTGCAAGGATTCATGCTCTTTGGTTTTTTTTTTCGGTAAAGTCACGTAAGGTAAAACAAAATGAAAATAAAAGAGAACAACTGAATCAAATCACGACGTTTCGGAGGCAACGCAAGCTTCCGTCTTCAGGCGGAACAGTCACAGCAAGGTAGCTGCATCAAGTGGGGGGCTCTGAGACACTCGAGCTTATATACAGGTTAAGGTGGGGGGGGAGGAGCCAAGTAGGGGACATTGATGGGGTGCGGGGCTAAGGTTAAGGTGGGGGGGAGGAGCCAAGCAGGGAGACGGCGTGCGGGGCTAAGGTTAAGGTGGGGGGGAGGAGCCAAGCAGGGGGCGACGACGGCGTGCGGGGCTAAGGTTAAGGTGAGGGGGAGGAGCCAAGCGAGGAGCCACGACGGCGTGCGGGGCTAAGGTTAAGGTGGGGGGGAGGAGCCAAGCAGGGAGCCACGATGGCGTGCGGGGCGAAGGTTAAGGTGGAGGGGAGGAGCCAAGCAGGGGGCGACGACGAGGCCAAGTTAATCCGTCTTTTGTTATGTTGAGGGTTCGGGGGCAGCGGTGGTTCACTGCACGGGGGCAATGAACTCCACCCGTGGTCACGTTGCAAAAACCGTAACGGCGTGACCGACCGTCAGCCCGGGCACGGGGCGGCATCTAACGGCTCGAAAGAATTTTGAACAAGGTCGGGGTTTTGACTCGATTCGAGGGTGAGTTGTCTCGTCTCGGCTGCGCGCAGTCCTCAATCGGTGTCGGCGGTCTAGCATGTCTTGCTGCTTTTGTTTCGTTGAGCCCATTACCCTGAACGCAATTTTCTCCTAATTCCTAAATAGATGTGTCCGCAGACGAATTAACAGCGTGCATCATGAGCGCAGGAATCTTTTTCAGAATCACATCGTAACGTGTCCGCTTGGCGACAAGATCCAAGAGGCATTTGTGTTCACGGTGGTCGAGTCTTGCCTTCAAAGCTCCAGTCTACGACTCGCCCACTGCGGTCGATCGCCCGCCCCACAAACCACAAAGACCCCCCCCCCCCCCGTGTAGCCGCTTACAGGCTGTTGGGACAAGTGCTGTCAGAGAAGCGCCTACGAAGGCTGGAGAGGGTGGTGTGGCCAGAAGCCACGCCTGTCCACCTTTGTCTCCCCAGTGCTAATGCTTACACACATCACACCAGGAACTTCTGTGAGGCTGAATCGACCTCGGGGAGGCCCAGAACCGGTAGAAAAAATATTCGCCACTGTTACAGGTCGTGTACGGGAATTGAACTTGGGTTGGCAGGGTTCATCGCGCGGGGGACTAACCAGCAGCCAAGTACGCACCTCGGCGGACGCGAGAGAAGCTGCTTCCATGAGATTCTCCGCTCTGAGCACAAAGATAGCGACCGCCAGCACTGGGGAGACACAACGTCCGTACAACGTCGCAGAGCACACACAGACAGCGGCAGCGGCGTGCGTTACAGCGTCGCAACGTCCATACATCACAGATAGCTGATCGGATTCCTCCTTTAAAAATAAATATTCTGAATGTCCCTTTTGGACCACTGCAGTTGATTCTCCTTTGCGGCGCATCACCACCACCACCACTGCAGTGGGCCCCACACAGCACAGCAGCTCTACCCCCACCCACCACCCCCTATCTGAGCGGAGCCGGCGCATACGCACACACGCAGGTCACGGACACGCCCCACGCTACACCACCACACGGAGGGGGGCGGGGCGGGGTGGGGGTCCCACCTGCCAGCAGCTCCAGCGAGTTGAAGCCAAGCAACCGGTCCCAGAGCAGCAGCAGCTGGTCCGTGGCCAGGTACCCGGAGAAGGCCCTGACGAGCCACTTGAAGGCGATGCGCAGCCTGCGCACGCCGCCCGCCGGTGGCGGCGAAACAACGGACGACAAAAAACAGCGCAGGGCGCGGGTCGGCGGAAACGTCCAAATGTCGTCTCACGGGGCGTCTCGTTTGGATCCCGCGCACAGGAGCGGTCAGGGGATCAGCTCACGGAAGCGGATATCACAGAGCTGCCTCAGAGATCGCTTGAAGCGACCCCGTTCGCACGGTTGAGGGCAGTGCCGTTCCCACTCACCCCAGCCGCAGGCAGTCAAGCTGACGTTTTGAATTTAGGGTTTGGGATTCAGCCAAATTAAAACCGAAATGTTAGGGGGTTTTTTTAGTGCCATCGTCAGCAGGCCGGGCCCAAGACCGTCGACTCTCTCGAGACTTGAGAACCCGGTTTAACAACGGGCAGCCGTCCGGATTTCAACTCGGCGGCGTCGGCGCAGCACTCTCGCCGAGAACCGGTGTAAGGCCACGTGGGTTTTGTCCGCACCCGTTTCAACCGTGCGTGTTGTTGTATTGGTTTGTTGTTGTTGTTGTAACGTTCTGAACACGTGCCCTTACTTGGACATATGTGCAAAAAGAGCTTCAAAGCTCATCGCATTGCTCCTGCAGGATAAATACAATATTCTGATTCTCATTCTGAACCTGATTCTCAAGTGCAGCGGAGTTCATTGTCTCAGCCCAGGCACTGATGAAAAACAAAAACATCATCATTAAATTTGGTTTATTACATAGTTCGGCGTATTTCAGCGCCGATTCAAAACATTGATTTCATGGCCAGGTGAGGAACACCTGTTTCTCGAGGCGTATAAAGAAAGCGGTCCTTTGTGTGCACCAAGCGGCCCACTCATAATATCATCTTTCAGGGATGTTCACGTACCATGAGGAATCAGAGAATTTAAAAACGAATGTCTTTTGAACTGCTTGTTGCTGGTGTTGTTTAGTTTGTTGTCCTTCCCCCGCACCTCCGAATAGCGCAGTTGCCTATGTGCGGTGCGAAAGTTCGCTTCTGGTAACGGTGGTTGTGGTGAGACTGATTCTGGTAACGGTGGTTGTGGTGAGACTGATTCTGGTAACGGTGGTTGTGGTGAGACTGATTCTGGTAACGGTGGTTGTGGTGAGACTGATGATTCTGGTAACGGTGGTTGTGGTGAGACTGATGATTCTGGTAACGGTGGTTATGGTGAGACTGATGATTCTGGTAACGGTGGTTGTGGTGAGACTGATTCTGGTAACGGTGGTTATGGTGAGACTGTATCTGGTAATGGTGGTTGTGGTGAGACTGTATCTGGTAACGGTGGTTGTGGTGAGACTGATTCTGGTAACGGTGGTTGTGGTGAGACTGATTCTGGTAACGGTGGTTGTGGTGAGACTGATTCTGGTAACGGTGGTTGTGGTGAGACTGATTCTGGTAACGGTGGTTATGGTGAGACTGATTCTGGTAACGGTGGTTGTGGTGAGACTTATTCTGGTAACGGTGGTTGTGGTGAGACTCTATCTGGTAACGGTGGTTGTGGTGAGACTGATTCTGGTAACGGTGGTTGTGGTGAGACTGATTCTGGTAACGGTGGTTGTGGTGAGACTGATGATTCTGGTAATGGTGGTCGTGGTGAGGCTGCATCTGGTAACGGTGGTTGTGGTGAGACTGATTCTGGTAACGGTGGTTGTGGCGAGACTTATTCTGGTAACGGTGGTTGTGGTGAGACTGATGATTCTGGTAACGGTGGTTGTGGTGAGACTGATCATTCTGGTAACGGTGGTTGTGGTGAGACTGATTCCGGTAACGGTGGTTGTGGTGAGACTGATTCTGGTAACGGTGGTTGTGGTGAGACTGATTCTGGTAACGGTGGATGTGGTGAGACTGATTCTGGTAACGGTGGTTGTGGTGAGTGATTCTGGTAACGGTGGTTGTGGTGAGACTGATGATTCTGGTAACGGTGGTCGTGCGGCGACTTACGGTTGCGCGCCGATGTCCCGGAGATGGTGGAAGAGACGTGGCTGGAGCCTCTGCAGAGTCGTCTCAAAGAGCAGGCACAGCGCCACGATGCCCTGAACACAGAGCGCCGGTGAGCGAGGGGTCACGGCAGTGACTCACCCACACGGGGCCGGGTGAGCGAGGGGTCACGGCAGCGACTCACCCAGACGGGGCCGGGTGAGCGAGGTGTCACGGCAGCGACTCACCCACACGGGGCCGGGTGAGCGAGGGGTCACGCCAGCGACTCACCCAGACGGGGCCGGGGTGAGCGAGGGGTCACGCCAGCGACTCACCCGCACGGGGCCGGGTGAGCGAGGAAATCTGATTGCTACATCACGCCAGTAGAGTACTCGCGGCTGTGATCTTAAAAGTCTCATTGGATTGTCAGAAGACGATCAGAATCAGAATATTGGACTTATGAGGCTCTTTTTCACAGATGTCCAGTAGGGGCACGGGGTATAAAGAGCGTTACAACAACAAACACAATACAAAAACACGATAGGAGTGCAAAGTACTAGAAGGCGACGACGAGTGAGCGAGTGAGCGGCGAGCGACGACCGAGCGAGCGAGCGGCGAGCGACAACGACCGAGCGAGCGAGCGAGCGGCGAGCAAACGAGCAACAACGAGTGACGAGCGAGCGAGCGAGCATGCGACGAGCGACAACGCGCGACGCTCACCGACGGGTGGGAGGACACCGAGTGCAGCCGGAAGAAGTGGCGCACGTACATCTGGTGGAAGGCGTAGTACAGGGTGTGCGGCTCGTGGTAGAGGAAGCACAGCGGAGCCACTGCCGAGGGGAGTAAACACAAACCTCGCTCTCGCTCGCCATCAGGCAACGCAGGCTGCGCCGCCGGCGAGCGCCGGTACCGGCCGGCAATGTTTACGAGGCGGCGGCGGCGGCGGCCACCATCGCTTACCGTACATCGTGAAGCCGTGGAAGGGAATGACACCTGCAGGGCGGCAGACACGAGTTAATGCCGCTCCAGAGACCCCGAGTACACGTGACTGAACTTTAATTGTGACCGACTCCCCCCCCCTCGCTCCCCTTCCTTCCCCGAAGGGACCCGACGCACAACGCTACGGGCCTACACATCCGCGTTGGTTGTCTGTCCATGCCGCCTATCCCGCTATGCACCACCCGCCTGGCCGCACGTCATCTGAACGTAGAACACTCACCCGTGCCAAATAATATCTCCGAACGCGTTAAGTCGTTTACGTAAAATACACCTCGCCGATGTTGGCTCACCGCTGGGTGGGTAGACGGTCGCAAATTCTTCCACGCCCATTTTCCCTGAAGCGCACGGCACACGCAGACAATCGACATGAGTACTCGGCAGTACATATTGATACATCCATTGGGGCCCAACACGTTGGGCGAGTGGTGCTGTGGACGGCACCATACGCTAGAGGCTGACCGAAATTCGGTTTCGGTGCCGAAAGTTGGCAAATGGCCTCTTTTGGCAAAGTTTCGATTTCGGACGAAAGTCAATTTTTAACTTTCGGTCTGGTTTCGTTTTCGGCCGAAACCAGAAATTCAGTTTCGGTCGGCCCCTACCATACGTATCTTTTGTCTCTCCATGGTTACGGACCTCAGGCTTTGGCCACTGGGGGAGACCCCCGGAAAGGCTGACACACAACTTGGCGCTGATGGTATATCCATGGCTGGTAACTAAACCCATGTTCAGCGAGTACGTGGCGGAGCAGCGCATGAACAGCTCTGTTCATGCTCTCCGCAAGAGGCTCAGATACAACTTGGCGCTGATGGTATATCGATGGCTGGTAATTGAACCCATGTTCAGCGAGTACGTGGCGTAGATCTTTGAAGGATTTGCGAGTTAATCACACAATCCAGCCTGGATAAACCCAGGATGGATCGTAGGCAGGCCAGCCTAAATGTTTCTAACTGGCGAAGATGTTCCATTAGGGGGGTCCGAGTTTCGTAAGCGTAAAGAAGGGAGGGAATGACCGTGGCCGAGAAGACCTGAAGCTTCGTGCAGAGTGATAGACCAGGTAGCTTCCACGCAGCGTTACGCAACCGATGAAAAGATATTGCTGCTCGACTGATTCGGAGTGAGACCTCTGCTGTTAAACCGGAGCCGGTCATGAGCACACTGCCAAGGTATGGGAAACTCTCCACTCTCTCCATAACTGCCCTATCACCAATTGGGAGTTGTGGGGGTGGAGTGTCCAATGGTACAAAATACCCAGGCAGGTGCTTCGTTTTGGTGGGGCTGATGGCAAGGCCCCAAATCTTGGTGGCAAGCTCCAGATTCAGCAGCAGCGTCTCCAACTCCTCCTCTGACTGAGTAGCAATTACCAGATCATCGGCATACATAACGTGGTTGATCAATAGGGAGTCATCCCTTGACCGCACCCGGGCATCGATCAGCCACCCATTGTATCTGTACCAGATGAAAATGTATCTGTCATACAGGCACACATGCACACGCACACAAACGCGCACGCACACACACACGCACGCACCTGGAGAATACGTCTTGGACGGTGTGGCGCTGTTGTGTTCAAAGTGGCTCAGCACTTTTGTGTCTCGAGAGAAACACAACAGCACCTAAGACGAGGCACACGCAGGTTTCAGCAACGCGCACACAAATCTCCCGATTCGAACCCGATAGGTCTTTACCGAAAGCCGTGACAGAGCTGCCTCCAGTTAATTGAAGGTAACGTCGTCGTTAAAAAAATGCAAGGCTCTCGTTAACGCACACGCCATAGGTTACCATTAAAGATCGCACGATATTGACGTTGCTCGTAACTTCACGGTAATGTTTCATTTTACCCCTTGAAAATACATTTTACTCACAGTGGTAAAATCGGAGGGTATATTACTCAAAGACCAAAACCATTATCTGGAGCGTTGATTACATCTTTAATTTCCAGTTTCTGAGCTAGCTTGTCATCTCCAAGAGAGGTTCAGCATTCACTTCGCAGACGTGAGATGAAAATAAAAGTTAAATCTTATTTTGCTGGACGGCTGCTTATGCCACCCCTACACTCAAACGAACATTTTAATCACACGTATATGTATTATGTATGTCGAACTCCTTTTGCACCGTACGTAGCCAACCAAAGCTAATCGGAGGTACAGGGGAAGGACAACAAACTAAATACAAAAAGCAGTTCTGAAGAAATTAGTTTTCAATTTAGACATAAAAGTGCATAGCTCCAGTGGGCTTTCTAATATCGGAAGGAAGAGCGTTCCAGACGGCCGCAGAAGCGCATCTGAAAGCGCCACGCGATGCGGTGACCACCGTCCCTGTCCGACGGTTAGCCAAAAGCCGCTGTTCCGAGGATGACCGGAGGTTCGCGTGATGATGATTTACGCTTCTTGACGAGAACAGCTAAGGTGTCGCGCTCCATTTGCGGCAAGCGCTTTGTGCGTGTAACGAGCGCGACCTTCTGACGAATATTCGTTCGGCAACCACATCACACGCACACACAGAGGTGAGTAACTCGCGTTACCTGGTAAAGGAAGTCTTCAAACACGAAATAGTAGTCATCATTGCTGGCCGTCAGCTTCACATCCTGAAACAAGCAGGTCGACAACAACAGCACCGACGCTCAAAACGTCAAAATGCTGGCCCAAAAGGGAAGCGTGGTGGTGCTCATCTCCATTGGGGTTCCCGTAACGCTGATGGCAATTCCACATTCCAATGACGGGTGCCAGTCTATCCACAGGATAATCTACTTGTTGGCTTCCCAACAAATTTCTACTCAATTTATCGAGCGCGCCCCCTCTCCGCCCCCCCCTCCCCCCCGAGGGGATGGGGGATGCTAAGTGGACGCCCAGCAGCAACCACAATGCAGCAGCAGCAGCAGCTCAGGTGATGATCCATGTGGTCTGCTTCTCCCGACAGGCACACTGGTCTCGGTTGCGTCGTAGCCGCCTCCTCTTCACCCCAAGTGAGCAGAGGGAAAGTGCTTAAAGGCAGTCGTGATGAAGAGACTGGCATTTGAGGTTGGTCCGTCGTCGACTTTTCAATCAAAACCGGCGGAATCTGGCAAGTGGAAGGAAGCGATAGCGGGGTGTGTGCTGGTCATCAACGGCATTTTTCCCGCGATGACCTATAGGCCCTGACCTCTGGATTTGTCCGATCCTTTTCTCGAGCTGAAAGGACTGAAGTCTCTGCGTGAATCTATAAACTAAACGATTTCTTTTACCCGGTAAGTCCCACTCAGCGATACAGATGTTTCTCAGAAGCGGCTTGGCGACAAACAGTAGCTCAACAAAGTGGCTTATAATCATCACGTGATTATAAGCCACTTTGTTGTAAGGCGGACAAAGACTCTAAATGCGTGACGTTGATTATAAATGTGGAGGGAAAAACCGGAGGATCCCGAGAAAAATCCACGCGACCACGGGCAGAGAGACACGCAGACTCCAAATATACAGCAGCAGGCGTTAGAGCCGGGATCGAACCCACGACCTCCTGCATACCAGGCGAGGTAGTTAACATCTACTGGCCACCGTGATGATGATGAGAGAGAGAAACACGCAAACTCCAAATACACAGCAGGCGCCCGAGCTGGAATCAAACCCACGACCTCCTGCATACCACGCGAGGTTGTTAACATCTGGCCACCAGGGCGCCACCGTGAACCAGTTGGGCCCACCTTGTAGATTAGGTTGTCCACAAGCAGATCCTGCTGGACCACTGCGGACTTGAGCTGCTCATACTTCTGTATCTCCTGCGGCGACCAAGACAAAGAAGCAGGCTCAAGCTGGCAAAAGCAAACACGTTCAGCAGGCCTGGGCATACGCAAACACTTTTAATTCGTACAGGGTGGACATTTTCCTGGAATGGAACACTGAACGAGTGTAGGTTGACACTCATTATTTGTAAACAAAAAATTTTAAGAGGCAAAAATCCTACATTCTTATGACCGGGGCATGTATATTCATAATTCTGCGACTGCTGCATTCCCACAGCATGCTTCTAATTTTATTGAAAGTAGAGGGATGAGAATTTGAGTTGACCTTTGACTGGAATTCGAACTTGACCTTTGAGCCACCTGGTCACCTCACCACAAACCGAGTGAATGTCAACGTCAGCTTTTGTGCAATACGGTCTGTCCTCGTTATTCACGAACTCGCTATCCGCGATTTTGGCTATCCGTGAATCGCATCTGGGACTTCACAGGACTGCACTGAGAAAGAGAGTAACGGGAGATAAAGTGATGAGAGAAAAAGTGATGAGAGATAAAGTCGTGAGAGAGAAATTCGTGAGAGATAAAGTGATGAGAGATAAAGTCGTGAGAGAGAAAGTGAGATAGAAAGAAACTTCTATAAGTTTCAGAAACATTTGCAGCCGTTTTGCACGTACGATATTCGTAGGCCAATATCATTATCCGCAAAATCTGCTGTTCACGGGCATCTCCGTAACATATCCCTCGTGAATAACGAGAGAATACCGGGCATACAGTGAGGGAAAAAAGCATTTGATCCCCTACTGATTTTGTACGTTTGCCCACTGACAAAGAAATTATTAGTCTATAATTTTAATGGTAGGTATATTTGAACAGTGAGACAGAATAACAACAACAAAATCCAGAAAAACGCATGTCAAAAATTTTATAAATTGATTTGCATTTTAATGAGGAAAATAAGTATTTGACCCCTCTGCAAAAACATGACTTAGTACTTGGTGGCAAAACCCTTGTTGGCAATCACAGAGGTCAGACGTTTCTTGTAGTTGGCCACCAGGTTTGCACACATCTCAGGAGGGATTTTGTCCCACTCCTCTTTGCAGATCTTCTCCAAGTCATTAAGGTTTCGAGGCTGACGTTTGGCAACTCGAACCTTCAGCTCCCTCCACAGATTTTCTATGGGATTTAGGTCTGGAGACTGGCTAGGCCACTCCAGGACCTTAATGTGCTTCTTCTTGAGCCACTCCTTTGTTGCCTTGGCCGTGTGTTTTGGGTCATTGTCATGCTGGAATACCCATCCACGACCCATTTTCAATGGCCTGGCTGATCGAAGGAGGTTCTCACCCAAGATTTGACGATATATGGCCCTGTCCGTCGTCCCTTTGATGCAGTGAAGTTGTCCTGTCCCCTTAGCAGAAAAACACCCCCAAAGCATAATGTTTCCACCTCCATGTTTGACGGTGGGGATGGTGTTCTTGGGGTCATAGGCAGCATTCCTCCTCCATCAAACACGGCGAGTTGAGTTGATGCCAAACAGCTCCATTTTGGTCTCATCTGACCACAACACTTTCACCCAGTTGTTATCTGAATCATTCAGATGTTCATTGGCAAACTTCAGACGGGCATGTATATGTGCTTTCTTGAGCAGGGGGACCTTGCGGGTGCTGCAGGATTTCAGTCCTTCACGGCGTAGTGTGTTACCAATTGTTTTCTTGGTGACTATGGTCCCAGCTGCCTTGAGACCATTGACAAGATCCTCGCGTGTAGTTCTGGGCTGATTCCTCACCGTTCTCATGATCACTGCAACTCCACGAGGTGAGATCTTGCATGGAGCCCCAGGCCGAGGGAGATTGACAGTTCTTTTGTGTTTCTTCCATTTGCGAATAATCGCACCAAGTGTTGTCACCTTCTCACCAAGCTGCTTGGCAATGGTCTTGTAGCCCATTCCAGCCTTGTGTAGGTCTACAATCTTGTCCCTGACATCCTTGGAGAGCTCTTTGGTCTTGGCCATGGTGGAGAGTTTAGAATCTGATTGATTGATTGATTCTGTGGACAGGTGTCTTTTATACAGGTAACAAGCTGAGATTAGGAGCACTCCCTTTAAGAGTGTGCTCCTAATCTCAGCTCGTTACCTGTATAAAAGATGCCTGGGAGCCAGAAATCTTTCTGATTGAGGGGGTCAAATACTTATTTCCCTCATTAAAATGCAAATCAATTTATAACATTTTTGACAAGCGTTTTTCTGGATTTTTTTGTTGTTGTTCTGTCTTTCACTGTTCAAATAAACCTACCATTAAAATTATAGACTGATCATTTCTTCGTCAGGGGGCAAACTTACAAAATCAGCAGGGGATCAAATACTTTTTTCCCTCACTGTACACATTTTTCCTTTGAAGGCACTGTTATTGACGAAAGCGTCGAGTTTGTGTGCAATGATTTGGTGACCGCGCTCAGACCACCAACACTCTACACTCGAGAGTACGGATTAACCACGTGGCGACTGAAGCCTGGAAAGGGAACGCTGGATCTCAGGCGGTGTCGCTGCGAGTGCTCCGACCCGGCACGATCCACTTTTACGTCCCTCGGCCATGCCGTGAGCACCCCCGAGTCGGGGTTCTCGGGGGGGCCCACCCCCCAACTCCCTCCCCCCCCCCTTCCCTCCTCCCGCTCCGAGCCAAACGCACGCGGCACCACGTTCACCTCGGCGCCCATGGAGACGTTGAGGATGAGGAGCCACAGGGCGGCGCGCTGGGCGTTGGGGCAGCCCTTCCGGGCAAAGTGCTGAGCCAGCAGACTCTCATCTGTCTCCAGCACTGAGGACACATGGCCACCAATCGGTCAACAATGATCAATCATCCCCCGGTGAAGTCCCAATGAATTTCCCCCCACCCCAACCTTCCCGAGGGTGCCCTGTGCTCGTTAGTGCTGCCCCGGCTGCCCCTAGGGACCGTCATCATCGTTGCTGTTGCTGTGGTTGGTGCTGGGACCCATCGCTTCATCCTGGCCTTTGCTGTGGCCTTGCTCCCTCCCTCTCTCTCTCTCTCTCTCGTTACCCTGCCTTCACCCACTCCCGCCCACCAAACCTCCTGTTACCCAAATGTATTTTTCTCCCTTTCATTTACGTGAAGCGCCTTGCATTGAGAAAGTGCTTAGACACCATTTCAATTATTTTTGGTTGTTGTTGTGACCACAGGTATGGAGGCAGTTAGAGTACTGTGTGCATAAAACTCTGCCGAGCAAAATTGCTGACAATAGTTTAAAACGCGGGGACGTTACCCACCTTTCTTTGCGAGCTTCTCTCGCTGCACTTCAAATGATTCTAAAAGGCAATTAAAACCACACGAAATGTTACTTCACGCCACTTGCATACAGAATCCACGGCGGTCATCGTTTTCATGAAATACAAACAAAACACAGCCTCGCCATCCCTCGATAACCCAATTTTCCTTCACCCTCATCAAATAAAAAAAATGTTTAGCGCTGAAATTAGGCGAATTAAGAGGTCATTTGTTTTGTGCAGCCAATGGTGTCCAGGATGAAATCGTCAACGCATTAGCCTTGAGAAGCCAGTTTAATGACAGGCAATTAAACCTGAATTTAGGGTTTCAGCGGTAATATTATACAACGGAATCTCGATTTATAATAGACTTTCGATTATCCGCGCTAATGACGGGGAGGACGGCCGTGGATAATTCAAAATCGCGGATAATCCAAAAATAGAACCATTTTCCGCGGATCTCTATACCAAATACCACGAATATAGGGGCATAAATTAAAACTCACTAAATAAATGATCGGATAAATCACTCAAAATGAAGCACATCTGACCATCTGGATTGTTACTCTTTCAACTTAGAACGAACACTAACGATCGTCCGATCGATGATGCGCGTGCTCCGTGATGACACTTTCCTGCTCCCGTCCAGCAGAAGACTCGGCCCCACTAAGTGTATGACAGCAGCATAGTCACAGCCAATCAACATCAATCAAACTCCACTCCACTGTTGTAAAGATATTGCAACTACTGTACTGTAGAGGCGATCACGTGGATTTCGGATTAACCGGAGCAACATACTTGTTCGGTTTAAGCGCCGTGTATCTTGGAATAAACATTTCCAAGAATAACAAATGAACAACTCTTTTCAGATTATGAATTTGGGCTCCAGGGAAAATCCACGTGTTATGAATTTTTCACGTTGAAATCTCAGGTTGTGCGGTTCATCCGCAAGTTGTATAAACGGCAAGCGGATAATCGAGAACCGACCGTACGAGTCTACCGATTTGGAAATACAATCGCAATGGAGCATGAGCGGTCATGCAAATAAATCCGCACCACTTATTGTTATTACCCCTCGACCAGATCAGCGTGCCTGGGCTGCAGCAGGAATCTTCGAATGTATTTTCCGGTGGACATTTAAAAAGAAAAACGGGAAGGTACCGGCACGACACGTGACATCGCACGCGATGGCGTTACGCGGTGCCGCGATGTCACGACGCCCGTACACGTGACCACCAATTTGCACGCCCCGTCCCCGATTCCTCTCATCTCTCCTTTCAGTTATCTCGCCAATCTCCGCTTCGTGCGTGCAGCTCTTTCAACTCTTCTGTCTATCGCTAGTCTCCCGTTTCACCCCGCTAATATGCCTCTCCGCCAGCCCTACCGCTACGAAGGCCGCAAATCTCAGCGGGGCCCACTTCAAGGGAACCTTCGCGGGCCATGTGCGGCCCGCAGGCCGTCAGATGACGAACTGTGGATGAGCGCGGTGGCCAGGATTACTCGCCGGAGGTTAGTGGAGTGACGTCTTCCAAGCCGGTCTGCTGCTCGTGCAGGGCAAGCTCCTTAAAGTGCTGAGACTGAAAATAAATTGCAGTTGATCGTCGATTATCCGCCATCACGCTATTATTCGGCTTCCCAAACATTATCCGGCGGTCCCGGGCCGATCCGGCGAAACCGGAAAAACCATTCCAAAGGCTGCGACCCAGGCCGGCGATCGGCACCGTGTGCGTGACAAAAAAAAGTATCTACGCTCGATTTCAGTGTTAAATATTATATACGGTACATGATACACGACATACAGCAACTTAAACAATGACAATACTGCACGTGTATACATCATTCATGACTAATAACTACGGTGATAAAAACAGAAAATACACACAGTGAGATGTGGCAAAAAGTGCGTCGTGTGTATTCGGCATTGGCCGGAGAACCGGTCTAAAGGCTGCATCAGTCCGGCGATCGTCAAACAAGTGGTTGTGTTGAAACAAGAGCGTGGTGCCGCTACGCACATCACCCCATTATGCAGAGTCTTCGAGATTGCAATGGTAAATACGGTACAGTAAACAATCACTTTTTAAATTTTTTGCTGTAAATTTCTATGTTAATTCATGCCAAATTAAAATAGTAAACACGTTTAAAACACAAAAAATATATATACAACACTTAAAAACATGTCATGCAAAAATGTGCAAAAATAATCCATTCGAAAAAAAATTATGTAGTGATTATCCGGCGTTTTTGAAAATCCGGCCAGCCACCCCCCAGAAGTCGCCGGATAATCTATGATCTCCTGTACTCAGTTATCTTGTTGTTAGCGTTGGACAGAAGCTGTTACACTTTGGGGCCTGTTAGGATGAAGACGCTGCTAGCATTAAATCTGGGCGGTGTTGAGCGATTAGAACAACCCTAGCGCGAAAGTTCGAATTCAAAGTATCAACATAAATGTCAACAGTTTTCAGGCATCAGTGATTGGCCAAGTGCAACGACTTAAGCTCAATACCATTGCTTGCGGCGAGGCTTATTGTATAGGGTTTAGGGTAAGACCTGGGTCAACTGCTGGCATTATGATTGAGGTGATCGGTGCTGCGAAGGACTTAAGGAAAAGGATTTGCTTTGATCGGGTGCTTAAACGCCTCGGCAACTCCAAAGTGCCTGACATCATTACCTCATCTCAACCATTCCAATGCCCCGCGGCACTCCGAGCTAAGAGGACCCCATCGCCAACAAACCTTGCACGGCGCCACGGTGGCTCGGAGATGTTCACTACCTTGCCTGATATACAGGAGGTCGTGGGTTTCATCTCGACCCTGACGATGCCTGTTGCTGTATATTTGGAGTCTATGTGTGTGTCTCTCTCTCTCATCATCATCATCACGGTGGCTAGATGTTAACTACTTCGCCTGGTATACAGAGGTCGTGGGTTCCATCCCAACCCTGACGACGCCTGCTGTATATTTGGAGTCTGTGTGTCTCTCTCTCTATCATCACCACGGTGGCTAGGAGATGTTAACTACCTCGCCCGGTATACAGGAGGTCGTGGGTTCCATCCCAACCCTGACGATGCCTGCTGTATATTTGGAGTCTGCGTGTCTCTCTCTCTATCATCACCACAGTGGCTAAGGATATGTTAACTACCTCGCCCGGTATACAGGAGGTCGTGGGTTCGATCCCGACCCTGACGATGCCTGCTGCTGTATTTTCGGAGTTTGCGTGTCTCTCTCTCCCCGTGGTCACGTGGATTTTTATCCGAGTCCTCCGGTTTTTTCCCTCCACATTCAGAATCAACGTCACGCGTTTAGATTATTTGGCTGCTATAAATGTCCACGTGATAAGCCACTTCCCGTTGGGCTATCACTTGTGATAGCCAGGTCACTTCTGAAAAAAAGCTACATAGCTCAATGTGCCTTGCCTGGCAAAATAAAATATTATTTTTTGTCATATATAGGGTGAACACAGCACCGACCTGCTAATGGGTACAGTCTGCTCTTCGGGGGCGATCATCATTGCTCGATACAGACCAGGTGTTGTCGCCTGCTGCTTCAGGGCCATGTTACTCTACTTCTGGCTGCCACAAGGCGAAGCCTTTCAACTCGAAGACGTACCGATAAAAGTGATTTTGTCCCAATGTCGTGCGTCTACGTCATCGGAACAGGATGGGAATTAACTTGATTTGGAGCTTCAGTGACTGCAGGAATTACTATTTGGTTCTTTCGGTAAAGTTACGTAGCAAGAGAAAATAATAAATTAAATAATAGCATTTGACGTTTATGTGTCTCCGTGGCTGTGTTTAGTTTCTCTCTCAAATTTAGCATTCTTTGGAGGAAAGTAATCAACCAGGTAGGGTGTTCACTGTTTTGTTAGCCGACTCTCTGTGTTGTGTTGCATTATATTTCTAAGTTTACTAGGCTTCATCTTCTTGGTTCTTTCGTTAACGTCACGTAGAAGGGAAATAATAAAATCATAAAAATAAATCTTACGTTTGATCTGTATTATTTTATTATTTCCCTTATACGTGACCTTACCGAAAGAACCAAGAAGATGAATCCCTGCAGCCACGAAAGTTTTAAATCTAAATTTACTAGGTTTGTTTTCGCTTTCATTTGTACCTGATGCTGACTGCTTGCGTTGCAGTCGAAACGTCGTATGCTATTGTTTAATTTGTTACTCCTCTTTCTATGCGACTTTACCGAGAGAACCAAAGAGGATGGGAATGACGACACGCGGCAGGAGGAGTCTCTCCCCGTCGTTATCGAGCCACCATCACGCCCTCCCTACAAACCCTTCAACATTCGAGTCAGAGAGGTCATCTTAGCCAACTGGGCAGGACCACGATCCACCGACGTTGCAAAGCGGCAGGCACGATGCGCTCCCTCGCACGTGCGGGCGTGCAGCATCCGAGCCGTACACCCAACGGGGAAAGAGGTTTTGAGGCCAGGTGGTATCCCCCTCAAGCAGAGCCGCCCGATAGGTGCCGGCCCGGACGGACGGCCTGGGAGGCGGGCGTCGGTAAAGAGCGGCAAAAAACCTCCCTCAAGAGATCGGCGGCGAGGAGGAGGCGCGGAGGGTAAACAACAACAACAACAACAACCGCCATTCGCCACTAAGTGGCGGCGACGTCACCACGGCGCTCGTGCCAGGTTATGTGCACGTTCAGAGTAAATACGAACACGCACGCACCGGCCGCGTGTACGTTGATTGTTTTTCGGGGCATTTGGTTATTTTTTCCCTCCCGCCCCCACCCCCCCCCCCTTTTTCCCTCTGTCCCTCCATTTCAGCAACACGCTTTACCCCCGTCATAACGACCCCAGTTTGCGGGGGCCGCGGGCAGACGCCCCCCCAACCCACCACCCCCTGCCCCCTTCGTGTCTCCCCCGTCTCCCCCCCCCCCCGCCCCCCCCACCTCCTAACAACTGGCCGAGGTGCGTAGTGATCGCACCACTCCACCGAGCGAGTCCCTCGCACTCTCGCGCTGCGCTACAGCAGGCTCGGTGCGTTATTGAATTAATAGAAACATATTTCCCTAATACAGGGGGTTTTCTTTGGGTTGGAACACGTGAATATATAAATGTGTCGTTAAACCCGCCACCACCCGACACAGCCAATTAGTAAGCATCTTGGGGTAGGGTGAGTTATGATACTTAGCGTGTCCATTACAGCTCTCCATTACAGTTCTCATGTTTACAACTAACATTCCCACAGACACCTCATGTGCGCAGAGGTTGTGATGAGCCACACAGAGAAGTTTAACACGTAGGCTTTCATAATAGAGGTTTTTGGGTTAGATCGCGTAAATATATAAATGTGTCGTTAAAACCCGCCACCACCCGACACAGCCAACTAGTAAGGGTTGTCACGTAAACAGAACGTGGCCAATTCGTCACTAGTACAGCACTAGTGTGTAGTGTATAGTGTAGTGTATAGTGTAGTGTATAGTGTAGTATACTAGTACAGCACACCGGTGTGTGTGTTGGAGAGCAAAGCCACAACATTTGCAATTGGAGTACGACGTTTCGCCAGTAATTACAACTAGCTTCATTGGGCGACAGCCAGATTTGTGGAGAAATCCTGTGATGACAACACTTGTGTGCCCTTCTTGCGTGAAGTGGGGGAGGGATTCATGAATGCATATAAATGATTATGAGTATCCATCGCCATTTGGGTGATTTATACGGTAATCGACGTACATTATGCATGCGATCTAACCTAAAAAACCCGCATTATGGATATCGATCGCGAAAGCCTATGTGTTAAAACAAAAAAAACATACATGAATAAACTATGGCGTGCACGCCATTGGCACGGGAAAGGGTTTAAATCACCAGCTGCTCGGAGGTGCTGATCTCGAGAGGCACCTGCACCAGCCCCCACGGCCGACATGGGTGTCCCGGGTCAAAGTTCAACACCTCGGGGTCCTGAAGATGCACAAGCACCTAGGCGACAAGGACAAGGCAGCGGTGATAGCAGCAACAATATCGGCATCAAGAAACAAACTAAAAGTCGCGACGGAACTACGGGCAATCTATCGGCGTGGCTAGGTGGAAAGTTCAAAGTGGACGCGCTGGAGTAGAGTTCGTTCGCCGACAACACGGCGGTGGTAGCTGCGTTCCGCGAGAACACCGGATTGTGGAAGAGTCGCGTTATTATCAATAAAATGTAACATCGGGGTATAAAGCACGGTCTGCGATAGCCCGTGAGACGCGAAACGCAGCCTGAACAAGGACCGAGGCGCGTGGGTAGCGTCTTAGAGCAGGGGTGCGGAACCTTTTTCCTGCCAAGGGCCATTTGGACATTTATATAACATCATTCGCGGGCCATGCAAAATGATCAACTTAAAAATTAGCCCGTTATATCAGGTCAAACATTTAATTAACTCGCCCCTAATGCGATGGCTGGAACCTGCTTCTCTTTGGTGAGGCGTGTGATGATGTTAGCCGACATTGACGATGTTGCTACTCGCAACTGCTTTTACAGGTCTGCTCCTAGATTCATTGAATTTCGAGTCCCGCCTGCGGCTGCATTGACAAGACCACACCAAATGATTTCGCGGGCCTCATACGGCCCGCGGGCCGGACGTTCCTCACCCCTGGTCTAGAAGCACCCAGCAGCAATCCAGAGCCTTGTCGTGCGATGCCACGCCAAGGCAGCCGTTACGACCGCTTATTCCAACTCGCGCTGCGACGTGGTTTCCGTTTCGCTCGTTCGCATCGTATCCAATTCGTATCCCGAGGTTATGGAAAAATGTGTTGACTCTTAATACCTCTCACACCACGGTTAATGGTATGGTTTACAACATGGAGTATAACAGCGCCTCGCAGCTGTCTCTCTCCCCCTCCTCTGTTCCGACCATGGATGAACTCGTCCGTCTGAACGGGGCCCGTAGCTATCCGTGGTGCTAAAGTTGAGGGTAAGAATCCACCCATTTTTTCGCCATATAGCATTGTGATATATAACGACTTATTGTTGGTAGCTTAGCTGATTGGAGAATATAGAGTTTATTGATAACATTAAGGTAATTTATATTTTAGTTTTTTATTGGTTCACTATATAGTACTGTGAATAGCTCAGATGTGTAGGCCTTGACTTCAACATAGTCATTTCTGTGACCAGTCACTAGCTAATCACTCAGTTATTTCAATGCTAAATTCGCCTAGTTATTTCAATGCTAAATTCTCCTGTTTGATTTGTAATAAGTGCCTCGGTGAATGTGTATGCTCTGACTTTAACGTAGCTATTTCTGTGACCAATTACAAGCTAATCACTCAGCTATTTCAATGCTAAATTCTATGCTAATTCCTTTGTCAAGGGGTGCCTCTGCGGATGTGTATGCTTTAATTTTTAACATAGCTATTTCTGTGACCAGTCACAAGCTAATCACTCAGCCATTTCAATGCTAAATTATATGCTAATTCCTTTGTCAATGCGCTTTGTTTCCTCTCACACAGCTTAACGGTCCTGATCTGAACGTGGCTCTTTCACTCCAGCGCTGTCCTACCAGACAGTCTCGTCCCTTCACCTGATGAAGGCCGCTTGTGTTGTGGCCGAAACGTCGTGAGAATATTATTGTGTTATTTTATTTTATCAATTTATTATTTTATTCTCATTCTACGTGACTTTACCGAAAGAACCAAAGAAGATGAATCATTGCAGTCACGAAAGCTTTAAATCGAAATTTAATGTGTTTTTAATTGCGACGACAAAGAATTAATATTTATATATTTTTAAATGGCCTTGGCTGGCAGGACCTTCCACAATGAGTCTCGGCACAGAGTGGAGATTTTCTGCACGGGTATATATAATTATTATTTTAATATCAGTAAAACTCAATGTGGTTATTTCAGGCATGAAGCCAGCCTACGATTTGGTGCCGACTCAGCAATCTGACGCACCCATCTGGCCATGTTTTTCAAGGCACCGCCCTGTGAACTGCAGTCTCCAATGATAATCCAGCCAATCGGTCTGCACTCTCTCCACTCCGAAGAAGGGCCGCTCACATAAACTTTTAACCCAAAAACCTTTATTATGAAAAGGGTCGGTGTTCACGGTGAGTTGACACTGCCAACATGGCCTGTTGATTACGTGAATTTTCACCTTGCGTGCCACTGGGCGCATGACCAAGTCACCAGAGATGCACTCCAAAGTGGCACACCTCGAAAGCCGAGCAGTCTTTGAGCCCGAGTAGTGCTCGGATGGGCGACCACCACCATGCACAAACAGGTTGTCAGAGGTCGTTAGAGGGCCGTGCCGCAAAATCCACTGTTGTACTGTACACATACGTGCATATACAGGGACTACCTCTACTTACGAACGAGTTAGGGTCCAGATGTCTGGTCGCGAGTCCAACTTTACTCCTGCCGATTCAAAACAGGTTGTACGGCTTGTACACTAAACACGGGCGAATGGATTTCAAAGTTGCATAATCTCCTGTAGACGTACTGGTTTTTTCACTTTCTGCAGATGTAGATGCCACTGGTTCTTCACGTTCTGCAGATGTAGGTGCCACTGGTTCTTCACGTTCTACAGATGTAGATGCCACTGGTTCTTCACGTTCTGCAGATGTAGGTGCCACTGGTTCTTCCCGTTCTGCAGATGTAGATGCCACTGGTTCTTTACGTTCTGCAGATGTAGGTGCCACTGGTTCTTCACGTTCTACAACCACGTTCTACATATGTAGATGCCACTGGTTCTTCACGTTCTGCAGATGTAGATGCCATTGGTTCTTCACATTCTGCAGATGTAGGTGCCACTGGTTCTTCACGTTCTGCAGATGTAGGGGCCACTGGTTCTTCACGTTCTGCAGATGTAGATGCCACTGGCTCTTCACGTTCTGCAGATGTAGATGCCACTGGTTCTTCACGTTCTGCAGATGTAGATGCCACTGGTTCTTCACGTTCAGCAGATGTAGGTGCCACTGGTTCTTCACGTTCTGCAGATGTAGGTGCCACTGGTTCTTCACGTTCTGCAGATGTAGATGCCACTGGCTCTTCACGTTCTGCAGATGTAGATGCCACTGGTTCTTCACGTTCTGTAGGTGTAGATGCCACTGGTTCTTCACGTTCTGCAGATGAAGGTGCCACTGGTTCTTCACGTTCTGCAGATGTAGGTGCCACTGGTTCTTCACGTTCTGCAGATGTAGGTGCCACTGGTTCTTCATGTTCTGCAGTTGTAGATACCACTGGTTCTTCACGTTCTGCAGATGTAGATGCCACTGGTTCTTCACGTTCTACAGATGTAGATGCCAGTGGTTCTTCACGTTCTGTAGATGTAGATACCACTGGTTCTTCACGTTCTGCAGATGTAGATGCCACTGGTTCTTCACCTTATACAGATGTAGATGCCACTGGTTCTTCACGTTCTGCAGATGTAGATGCCACCACCGCCATCTATTGCACGGCGGTTGAACTTACGACTCTGGGTCCGAACAGGCAACTGGACACATGGACAGGTTTGTTTGTATCTCTGAAAGTTCATAAGTTGAATGTCTGTAAGCAGAGGAGTCCCTGTACTTCCACGCATATGCAATCCCCCCCTTCACCGGCCGGCACTGACCAGCACGGTGAAGCACGATTAAACAACCTTCTGACGACACAACCCCGGAGAGACACGGGGTGAGGGGGAGACCCCTCATCCAGCAGCAGATTGATAAAAGGTGGCCGCGCATGCCACGCGAGTCACTGGGCAACAATTGAAACGTGCGTTTCCGTCAACTCCGGTCTTACCTCGAGAAAGTCCTTGGGGGCGTAGACAGGCCGGAACCGGCTCAGATCTACAAAAGAGACGCGTGCACGCGCCCGTGAGGTCGTACAAAGTTCGCGGGCGGAGTAACACCGTCGCTGAATCGTTGAGCTGCGGCGAGGGCGTCGCTTCTCGTCTCAAGTCGCTCTCCTTCCTACCTGGTTCGTCGGACCCCATCTCACTCCATTTGCTCAGCAGCCCTTTCTGCTCTTCGGGCGAACGCTGAAGGTCGCGTGGGAGAGGAAGGGGGGGAAGGGGGGGGGAGGAGACGCAAGCAAGCACAACGCGAATCAGTGCACCGACAAAACACACACACTTGTTAAAAGTGGATGGACAACATCTCGATTTCAAGTTTTCGTTGACTGCAGGGATCCATACTCTTTGGTTCTTTCGGTAAAAAAAAGTCATCACGTAGGTTAGAAAATAAAATCAATTAAATCGCGACGTTTTCGGGCGCAACGCAAGCGCCCGCCATCAGGTGGAGACAACCGTAGCAAGAAACAATCGCTGAAGTGGGCAAAAAGGGGGGCTTGCTTGTAACAAGAGGCTATATAAGTAAGAGAGGGGGGGGGAGAGGGGGGAGGAGCCAGGGAGGAGAGATAGAGAGGGTGGAGGTGTGGGGTAGGGGGAGTGGAGAAGTGCAAACCACAATGCCGGGGCTGGAGCTTGCACTTCCCAGCCCAGGCATTGTGTTGTACTCGGTGTTGGCGCTTGCACGTGATTTTATTCATTTTATTTTATACCTACGTGACTTTACCGAAAGAAGCAAAGAGTATAGAGGAACAGTAACGTACTGCCCACTGTCAATCCGCGGCTGGGTGAAGGCCGCCACCCCCCCCCGCCCCATGTCACGTCAAAGGTGCGGAAGTGTTGTTCAGTATGTGTGGCGTCACTTCCTGTGGATGTCGTACCTTCGTAGAAATCCGAGCCGTTTTTTTTTTTTTTTTGGACCATCCCAAAGTGCAAATCCAGGCATGAATTTTGGATTTTTTGGGATGAATTAGAAAATCATGCACTCACCCATTGAAAACTTAAGGTGATAATGATACCGCTGCGCTCAGTTTTCGGCTGTACCTACCCTTTAAAGGGCACCGCGGTGGCTAGGAGATGTTAACTACCTCGCCTGGTATACAGGAGATCGTGGGTTGGATCCTGACCTTGATGCCTGCTGTATATTTGGAGTTTGCGGTGTCTCTCCCCATGGTCACGTGGATTTGTCTCTGGGCCCTCCAGTTTTTCCCTCCGCATTTCAAATCAACGTCACGAATTTAAAGTATTTGGCTGCTATACATTTCCACGTGAAGATTATAAGCCGCTCCGTTGAGCTTTCATTTTTGACAGCCAGCTCGCTTATAAAAAAAAAAAACGAGCTATGTAGCCCAAGAGGGCCTTACTTGGCGAAATAAAAAAAAGTAGTTTAGCTTAGTTTTCCACCGTTCCTCAAGCTTGAGCTCGACCCCAACACCCCCCCCCACCCCCCAAATACCTTCTGACAAAGAGTAACTCCGAGCTCCGTGCACATGCTGTTCAAACTCTTCATCACCCGCTTCTCCCACTGTGCCTGCCGATGGGGGAACAAACGGAGGAGCTGAAACCAACAAGCGTCACGGCGGCCCAGTGGTGGGCACGCTCGCTGTGCGTACGTGCGTACGTGCGTACGTGCGTGCGGCGAACTTCTTTCGCACCGCCGTACGTAGCCAACCGTGCGAGGTGCGGGAAGAACGAACGATCGTAACGCAAAAAAGCAGTTTTAGCGAAACGAGTTCGTCGGTCCAGGCGATGATTTAAAAGTGCGCAGCTCCCAGCGGCTTCCTCGTATCGGAAAGGGAGGGAGGCGCTGCTCCCCCCGCGGGACGCGTGGCTGCGAGTCGCCGACGGGAACCACCTGTGCTCGCCGCATGTACGCCACGGGCTCCTTCCTCAGCTCGGGCGGCAGCGCAGCGCTCGGCAGCCTGGGCAGGACGAGGGGGCCACCGCGGGACGTAGGTTCAGCGTAAACAAAGGGAGAGTAAAAAAAATAATTTATCTAATCGCGCGCGCATTTATTCTGCAACGCTTTCCGGCAAGCGGTCGGAAGTTATTAATTCGTGAAAATAATGGCAGTGGCATGGCCAAGTCCCCTGGAAGCAACATTTTATTTCAATTAAACTATTTCGTTTTAACTATCACATCCCGATTATGTTAAACAATTGTTTATTTTACCACGTGAGGCCCACTGAGCTTTTTTTTCAGAAGCAACCTGGGCCACAAACGATAGCTCAATGAAGTGGCTTATCGCGTGGAAAATGTACAGCAGCCAAATAATCTAAACGCACGTTTCTATACGTGGAGGGAAACACCGGAGAACCTGGAAAAATCCACGTGACCACGGGGAGAGAGAGAGACACGCAAACTCCGAAAATACAGCAGCAGGCATCGTCAGGGTCGGGATTGAACCCACGACCTCCTGTATACCGGGCGAGGTAGTTAACATATCCTAGCCACCGTGGTGATGATAGAGAGAGAGACACGTAGACTCCAAATATACAGCAGGTGGCGTCAGGGTCGGGATCGAACCCACGACATCCTGCACACCAGGTGAGGGAGTTAACATCTCCTAGCCACCGCGAGATGAGAAGAATCTTACGTAAGAATCGAACTTACTTACAAAGTTTACTTCTCGCACTCCGCTACTCCCAATGCAATCATCTGGCTCGGCCACCTCAACGTCAAATTTCAGCTGTTGCTCGACATCAACATTAGCCAGACGAAGAAGAAGTTCACCTTGTATGTTATTTTTTTAAATCAAAGTTATCATGACCCACCCATGACACAGGCAGGCAGACAGACAGACGGATGGAGCCAGTGCATTAAATTTTCCAACCTTCGTTAAAGGTCAGGAGATATTTATTAACGTACGTTACGTTACACCATGTATTTTCTGTGCATGCACCATGCGTTGTCCGTGTGTTTGTGTATATGCATCAGTGGCAATTATCTGAACCGGTTCTGGGCATCTCCTTAAGTAAGCGCCTGCAACCCAAGCATTCAGACACTCAATTGTCCGTCGAGCTAATGAGATAGCCGTGAGACGGAAACCCATTCCAACAAAGGTCCACCCCCCTAGAATTGTAATGTAAAAAACGAGATTGCAAAATTAAAGCCGTGACTCACACGCTCATCTCTCTGTAAACAGCATTCTGGAGTTTCGCTTTCCAACCTGCAAACAAAATGCACAGACAAACCGACCACGCTCCACGGTCAAACAAGGCGCACAGACATCCCCCGTGCGACCGCTGTGCGCGGGTACACGTACGGTGCACCTGGAACCCTCTTGTCGATCCACTGCTGGACGGGGGGGCCTCCACGCACCGTGTGGGTCGCGGGGGTTCAAACCGACCGTACTTCAAGCCGGGTCGGCGCTGGGTGAGGCAGGGATCGCACGCGGTGGGAACGTGGCAATGGGGCGGGGGGTGGGGGACAGGTATGGGGGCAGTCACACGCTTGCCGCTTGCCACCACGACTGGGAGCACGCGTTGTTCCAACACTTCAAATGTTGGACGAGTGTTGGGAGGGCAGGTGTAGGGAGGGCAGGTGTTGGGAGGGCAGGTGTTGGGAGGGCAGGTGTTGAGAGGGCAGGTGTTGTGAGGGCAGGTGTTGTGAGGGCAGGTGTAGGGAGGGCAGGTGTTGAGAGGGCAGGTGTAGGGAGGGCAGGTGTAGGGAGGGCAGGTGTTGTGAGGGCAGGTGTTGTGAGGGCAGGTGTTGTGAGGGCAGGTGTTGGGAGGGCAGGTGTTGGGAGGGCAGGTGTAGGGAGGGCAGGTCTTGGGAGGGCAGGTGTTGTGAGGGCAGGTGTTGTGAGGGCAGGTGTAGGGAGGGCAGGTGTAGGGAGGGCAGGTGTTGTGAGGGCAGGTGTTGTGAGGGCAGGTGTTGTGAGGGCAGGTGTTGTGAGGGCAAGTGTTGGGAGGGCAGGTGTTGAGAGGGCAGGTGTAGGGAGGGCAGGTCTTGGGAGGGCAGGTGTAGGGAGGGCAGGTCTTGGGAGGGCAGGTGTAGGGAGGGCAGGTGTAGGGAGGGCAGGTGTTGAGAGGGCAGGTGTAGGGAGGGCAGGTCTTGGGAGGGCAGGTGTAGGGAGGGCAGGTCTTGGGAGGGCAGGTGTAGGGAGGGCAGGTGTAGGGAGGGCAGGTGTTGAGAGGGCAGGTGTAGGGAGGGCAGGTCTTGGGAGGGCAGGTGTAGGGAGGGCAGGTGTAGGGAGGGCAGGTGTAGGGAGGGCAGGTGTAGGGAGGGCAGGTGTAGGGAGGGCAGGTGTAGGGAGGGCAGGTGTTGTGAGGGCAGGTGTTGTGAGGGCAGGTGTTGGAGGGCAGGTGTTGAGAGGGCAGGTGTTGAGAGGACAGGTGTTGAGAGGGCAGGTGTTGAGAGGGCAGATTTTCCCTCGCTTCATTGTGGGTTCGGTTTGTGCGATTTTGCGTATAAGCGACTAAACTATTTCCACTCAAAATTCGCGGTTGGGTAAGTCCTCGTTTAAACTAAAACTATTAAAACTTGTTTTTATTTTACCAGGTAAAGCCCACTGAGCTGTGTAGCTCTCTTTCAGAAGCAACCTGGCTATCACAAATGATAGCCCCACGAAGTGGCTTATCGCGTGGAAAGTTATAGCAGCGAAATACTCTAAACGCGTGACGTTGATGCTAAATGTGGAGGGGAAAACCGGAGGAGCCGGAGAAAAATCCACACGACCACGGGGAGAGAGACACCGCAAACTCCAAATATACAGCAGCAGGCGTCAGGGTCGGGATGGAACCCACGACCTCCTGCATACCAGGCGAGGTAATTAACATGCCGTCACCACGGTAGATGTGTTCATCGCCATTTACAGATACGATCCCTCCCCATTTTAGACACTATATAAATACATGAATTATACAGCAATTGTAAATCATTGCAAGCCTAACAGCACAGGGGAACCTACTGACGATTCATATGCAGCCGGTATGCAAAGCTATGTTCCCACGCAGGCGTGCATGTCACCTGACTTCTTTAAGGCATTCCTGAGGTCTTCGCTCAGAGTGGAGAGCCGGACGTCGTCACCCTGAACCTCTTTCTGAAATCAAGCAGAGACAAAATTCACTTCGTTCGTTTCTGGCCAACAACACCGACGACAATGCAGCACAAATAAACGCACACCGTGTCAACCCATCATGGTTTACCCCGTATTCCCGTACAGGGAAATTGGGTTTTCAAGTCCACGCGGCGTACAGCCGTTTCAATACGGGCTTTGTAGGATGAACGTTGAGATTTATAAGGGGCAAGGGGTTACCAATAAGGTCTGAATTGGTCTGCAATAAGGTAGGGCACTGATAAGGGGTTGATAGATATGTTATACACTACACTATACACTGCTATACACTACATAACTATACACTACACTATACACTACACTATAAACTACACTATACCATACTTGTCAACCCACATAGTTTTACCCCGTATTCTTGTACAGGGAAATATAATTTTCAGGTCCACGCGGCGTACAGCCGTTTCAATACGGGCTTTGTAGGATGAACAAAGAATCGGTCTGCAATAAGGTAGGGCGCTGATTATGGGTTGACATGTATGCCAGCGTCTTAGGGAATCCAGCACAGTGAAAGCAACTGCAGCGTGAGATGTACTGAATACACGGAGTCTGACTGCCGACCTCGCCAAGTGAACATCAACCTATCGTCACGCCAACTCCGACCATCCTCGCACCAGCGGGTGTTGGCTGCTGGCCATCGAACAACAACGGTGGTCACTGCATCGCGTGGCGCTTTGCCAATGCGCTTCTGCGACCGTCCGATATGAGGACGCCACTCGGGCTCTGCACTTTTAAATCATCGTCGAGATTGAAAACTCATTTATTTAAAACGTATTCTTTTCGCTCAGCTCACTGTCCTTTCCCCGGCCCTCCGATGAGCACGGTTGGCTACGTACGGTGCGAAAGGAGTCCAACGTGCGTGCACACACGAGGCATTGCAACTAGCACAGCGGTGTGAACTTCCCCGCAAAGACGAAATGCCCAATTGCGAAATGCTAATCCCACGTGGCGGCATATCTGCAGACAGGTAGCCCGATTGAAGAGACTGCGGCTGACCGTGCCAAGTTACGGCACCGAGATGAGACATCACGATGATTGCCAACCAAGTGGCATTAGTGGACACTGTGGAGGGGTGGTACACGGTGTTTTGCGCCGACTATGTTCGAATCCAGCCACGGCTAACATCAGTGGCAAATGCCACATGAGCCAGTCTTGCCCCTCCTCCTCTGCCCCCTCCCCCCACCTCACCAACCCGCATTGACCAGGGTGGTGAAGTATGGTCAAACAAACAGCAACCACAACAAACGTCCGTCTATATCGGGGGTGGGGAACCAATTTCTGCCAAGGGCCATTTGGATATTTATATAAAATAATTCGCGGGGCCCATACAAAATTATCAACTTAAAAATTAGCCTGTTATATTTGGTCAAACATTTACTAGTTAACTCACCCCTAATGTGGGTGGGCTGGAACCGCTTCTCTTTGGCGAGGTGCGGTGATGATGTTAGCCGGTGTTGACGATGTTGCTGCTACTCGCAACTGCTTCTCCAGGTTTGCGCCCTAGATTTATTGAATTTCGAGTCCCGCCTGCGGTTTGCCTTGGCGGGGCCACACCAAATGATTTCGCGGGGCCTTGTACGGCCCGCGGGCCGCCGGACGTTCCCCACCCCTGGTTTCGATGATTTGGCTGATATAAATGTCCACGTGGTGATGATGAGCCGCTTCGTTGAGTTATCACTTGTGGCCCACGTCGCTTCTGAAACAGAAGCCAAAAGCTCAGTGGGATTTTTTTTATTTATTAAAAAAATGGGTGCTATGTTTACCTTTCCTACACTTTGCACTCCTATCGTGTTTTTGTATTGTTTGTTGTTGTAACTTTCTGACGTGGACATCTGTGGGGGGGAAAAAAAGAGCTTTATAGCTCGTCGGATTCTTCCAGTAAAAAAACTAGAGCCGTCGTGCAGCCCTCTGTGGCGGTGCTGACGTCACCACGGCGCTTGCGCCAGGCTAGGTGCACTTTGAGGCCACGTGAAGTGTCGGAGAACTGTTTAACGCGTTGGCTATTGCGACCAATTATTATCCACAACGTTTGTTTGGGTTTAGATCGCTTCAATATGAATGCGTCGTTAAACCCGCCACCAGCCGACACGGCCAATCAGTAAGGTCTGTCACGTAAACAGAACGTGGCCAATTCGTTACTAGCCGAGCCACACACCAGCGGTCAGTGTGTAGGAGAGTAAACCCACCGCAACATTCACAATTCTAATAATAATAATAGGGCTTTTCCCCTTTTTTCTGGCAACAAAACTGAAACCTTTTTTTACAAGGATTCATGTCTGCATTAACCACAATACCTGCAGTCAAAATGCAAACAAAAAACATACTATGATAATATATGTGGCATTGTCCTTGAAACTGATTGGTCCACACCAAGGGACGGCTTTCTTTCGAGCCTCGACTCAATTGGTGCTCGACCAGATGACGCCAAAAGGCGTCACACAGCTCAAAGACAATGCACTATCAAAGTAATGAGGGCTCGGGGTGGTTAATGCCGACATGAATCCTTGTAACAAAAAGTTTCAGTTTTGTCGCCAGAAAAAAGGGGGAAAACCCTATTATTATTACATTTTGGTACTGGCAAAGGAGGTCTAATGATTCACAATACTAGTAACCGTGACGTTTCGCTGCCACCAGCTTCATCAGGGGACGGCCAGAAATGTTGAGGAATCCTCCTGTCTCAGTCTTAGGGGCCGTCCATGAATGACGTCACGCGATTTTGGACGATTTGTGACCCCCCCCCCCCACTTCGTCACACGGCGTCACAACAAGTCAGACCCCCCCTCAAATATGACGTCACAAAGCTCTGCCCCCCCCCAAAATAAAAAAAATGCTTCAAATCGCTTAAAACTATTGTCATTGTAGTGCGTATTTAATGTGGCGCTACACTCTGATGTTGTAGGAGAAAACATTTATTAAAAAGTCTAATTAAGTAGAATGTATTCTTGGTTATATCGGTAAAGTCACGTAGAAGGGAAACAATAAAATAATAAAATATTATTTCATTACATATTATATATATTTATTATTTTATTGTTTCCCTTCTACGTGACTTTACCAAAAGAACCAAGAATATGAATCCCTGCAGTCACGAAAGCTTTAAATCAAAATTTAAGTAGAACGTGTTGTCGATATTTAAAGTTGCGCATTTTAATGTGACGTCACATTTCTCAAACCACCGCCCCGCCTCGTCACACATCGTCACAAATGTCTGATTCCCCCCCCCCAGGTGCGTGACGTCATTTATGGACGGCCCTCAATAGGGTGCGAAGACCAGAGTTGGTAGTTAATGTAGCCATGTAAGTTACAATGGATATCTATTATTATTAGTTGGGTCATTCACAGTTAATCAACATGCATAATGTACGTGGCATGCCTTTAATGTACATTGTGTTAATCTTCTACTGTGACGTCGAAGGCGCCGCTGGTTTGGCTACGGATGTTGTGGGTGTAGGGGGAGATTGAGAAGCATCATCACCATCCATGTTCAATCCACTGCTGGATGAATTAACCATCATCAAGATCCACGTTCAATCCACTGCTGGATGAATTAACCATCATCACCATCCACGTTCAATCCACTGCTGGATGAATTAACCATCATCACCATCCACGTTCAATCCACTGCTGGATGAATTAACCATCATCACCATTCACGTTCAATCCACAGCTGGATGAATTAACCATCATCACCATCCATGTTCAATCCACTGCTGGATGAATAAACCATCATCACCATCCATGTTCAATCCACTGCTGCATGAATTAACCATCATCACCATCCATGTTCAATCCACTGCTGGATGAATTAACCATCATCACCATCCATGTTCAATCCACTGCTAGATGAATTAACCATCATCACCATCCATGTTCAATCCACTGCTGGATGAATTAACCATCATCACCATCCACGTTCAATCCACTGCTGGATGAGTTAACCATCATCACATCCACGTTCAATCCACTGCTGGATGAATTAACCATCATCACCATCCACGTTCAATCCACTGCTGGATGAGTTAACCATCATCACATCCACGTTCAATCCACTGCTGGATGAATTAACCATCATCACCATCCACGTTCAATCCACTGCTGGATGAGTTAACCATCATCACATCCACGTTCAATCCACTGCTGGATGAATTAACCATCATCACCATCCACGTTCAATCCACTGCTGGATGAGTTAACCATCATCACCATCCACGTTCAATCCACTGCTGGATGAGTTAACCATCATCACCATCCACGTTCAATCCACAGCTAGATGAATTAACCATCATCACCATCCACGTTCAATCCACTGCTGGATGAATTAACCATCATCACCATCCATGTTCAATCCACTGCTGGATGAATTAACCATCATCACCATCCACGTTCAATCCACTGCTGGATGAATTAACCATCATCAAGATCCACGTTCAATCCACTGCTGGATGAATTAACCATCATCACCATCCACGTTCAATCCACTGCTGGATGAGTTAACCATCATCACCATCCACGTTCAATCCACTGCTGGATGAATTAACCATCATCACCATCCACGTTCAATCCACTGCTGGATGAATTAACCATCATCACGATCCACGTTCAATCCACTGGTGGATGAATTAACCATCATCACCATCCACGTTCAATCCACTGCTGGATGAATTAACCATCATCACCATCCACGTTCAATCCACTGCTGGATGAATTAACCATCATCACCATCCACGTTCAATCCACTGCTAGATGAATTAACCATCATCACCATCCATGTTCAATCCACTGCTGGATAAATTAACCATCATCACCATCCACGTTCAATCCACTGCTGGATGAATTAACCATCATCACCATCCATGTTCAATCCACTGCTAGATGAATTAACCATCATCACCATCCATGTTCAATCCACTGCTGGATGAATTAACCATCATCACCATCCACGTTCAATCCACTGCTGGATGAGTTAACCATCATCACCATCCATGTTCAATCCACAGCTGGATGAATTAACCATCATCACCATCCACGTTCAATCCACTGGTGGATGAATTAACCATCATCACCATCCACGTTCAATCCACTGCTGGATGAATTAACCATCATCACCATCCACGTTCAATCCACTGCTGGATGAATTAACCATCATCACCATCCACGTTCAATCCACTGCTGGATGAATTAACCATCATCACCATCCACGTTCAATCCACTGATAGATGAATTAACCATCATCACGATCCATGTTCAATCCACAACTGGATGAATTAACCATCATCACCATCCACGTTCAATCCACTGCTGGATGAATTAACCATCATCACCATCCACGTTTAATCCACAGCTGGATGAATTAACCATCATCACCATCCACGTTCAATCCACTGCTGGATGAATTAACCATCATCACCATCCACGTTCAATCCACAGCTGGATGAATTAACCATCATCACCATCCACGTTCAATCCACAGCTGGATGAATTAACCATCATCACCATCCACGTTCAATCCACAGCTGGATGAATTAACCATCATCACCATCCATGTTCAATCCACAGCTGGATGAATTAACCATCATCACCATCCACGTTCAATCCACTGCTGGATGAATTAACCATCATCACCATCCACGTTCAATCCACTGCTGGATGAATTAACCATCATCACCATCCACGTTCAATCCACTGCTGGATGAATTAACCATCATCACCATCCACGTTCAATCCACAGCTGGATGAATTAACCATCATCACCATCCATGTTCAATCCACAGCTGGATGAATTAACCATCATCACCATCCACGTTCAATCCACTGCTGGATGAATTAACCATCATCACCATCCACGTTCAATCCACTGCTGGATGAATTAACCATCATCAAGATCCACGTTCAATCCACAGCTGGATGAATTAACCATCATCACCATCCACGTTCAATCCACTGCTGGATGAATTAACCATCATCACCATCCACGTTCAATCCACTGCTGGATGAATTAACCATCATCACCATCCACGTTCAATCCACTGCTGGATGAATCAATCAATATCCATATTAAATCCACTGCTGGATGAACGCTCTCCTCAATCCGCCGTAATAATAATAATCCACCCGCCTAGGCAAAGGAACTTCGAACCATTTAAAATCCATTTAACTGTCATCCCCTTGCCGTGATAATTATTATTATGAACTTGATTTGAACACAACATAGACACAATCTGTCTGTGTTGTCTCTCTCTGTGTCTCTGTGTGTGTCTCTCTCTGTCTCTGTGTTGTCTCTCTCTGTGTCTCTGTGTTGTCTCTCTCTGTGTCTCCGTGTCTGTGTCTCTCTGTGTGTCTGTGTTGTCTCTCTCTGTGTCTCTGTGTTGTCTCTCTCTGTGTCTCTGTGTTGTCTCTCTCTTTGTGTCTCTGTGTTGTCTCTCTGTGTCTCTGTGTTGTCTCTCTCTGTATGTCTCTGTGTGTCTCTCTCTGTGTGTCTGTATTGTCTCTCTCTGTGTGTTTGTGTTGTCTCTCTCTGTGTGTCTGTGTTGTCTCTCTCTGTGTGTCTGTGTTGTCTCTCTCTGTGTCTCTGTGTTGTCTCTCTCTGTGTCTCTGTGTTGTCTCTCTCTCTGTGTGTCTGTGTTGTCTCTCTCTCTGTCTGTGTTGTCTCTCTCTGTGTCTGTGTGTTGTCTCTCTCTGTGTGTCTGTGTTGTCTCTCTCTCTATGTGTCTCTGTGTGTGTCACTCTCTGTCTCTCTGCGTGTCTCTCTGCTTGTGTGTTTCTCTGTGCGTCTCCGCGTCTGTGTTTCGTCTCACAAATGTAGCTCTACCTGATGACGCTTGCTTGGAGTCGCACTCGAAACGTCGTATTCCATCATTTTATTCATTTTCCTTCTGCGCGACTTCACCGAGAGAACCGAAGGGCACTTTATTTATTCACGATTACGACGATTATGACGACGACGATCCCAATGGGACAGCGACGCGCGCCTTGAGAGAGACAGGGAGTGAGGGGGGACTAAGCGACACAGAGACGCGTCCACCCTCCCTGGAACCTCACCGTGACGGCGCCGTGCAGCCTCGCGTAGAAGTTGGAGTCGGCCAACTTGCAGACGATCTGAGCGGTGAGGAGCGCCGTCGCTTCCACGTCCATTGCCATGATTTTTACTACAACAACAACCACCCACCACCACTACACCTAGTGTCCTTTCTTCACACGGGAGAGAGAGATATATAGTCGTTGTTGTTGATGATGATGATTATATATATCCGCACGCGCGGCACACGCGGTTTTATTTTCTTTGCGAAAAAAATCTTATTTAAATATGTGAACGCGAGGTTGTGGCCGGCGTTACAAAACCAGGGCGAAATCGCGAGCGGCAACGTTGACAAATTTTTTTTTGTTTTAGTCGATTTGAGAGGCCGCGTCGCCACGGCAACGCCGACGTCACCGCCGGCGCGCGCGAACACGCGGCCGCCATGTTGGTAAGGGAGGCTCGACGCCGGATTGGCGCGTTGGCAGCGGGCGGTTGACGTCACAATGGGCCACGCAATATCAAGAATTGTAGTACAGTATTTCGATTTAAAGCTGTCGTGGACTGCAGGGATTCATATTCTTGGTTCTTATGGGTAAAGTCACCACGTAGAAGGGAAATAATAAAATTATAAAAATAAAACATAATAAAATAAAATTCTCATTTTTGTATCTTATTTTATTGTTTCCCTTCTACGTGGTGACTTTACCGAAAGAACCAAGAATATGAATCCCTGCAGTCACGAAAGCTTTAAATCAATTTTTTTTTCTACCGTATTCGAAAAAAACTCCTTTTGGCGTCATCTGGTCGAGCACCAATTGGGTCGAGGCTCAAAAGAAAGCCGTCCCTTGGTGTGGACCAATCAGTGTCATTGACAATGCATCATATATTATCATAGTATGTTTTTTGTTTGCATTTTGACTGCAGGTATTGTGGTTAATGACGACATGAATCATTGTAAGAAGGTTTCAGTTTTGTTGCCATAAAAAGGGGAAAACCCTATTATTAAAACTCCTTAAAGAAAGTTATTTTAAAACAGCGGTTTAATTAAGGGTCGTATTTAAATGACGTCACACAATTTTGGCCGATTCCCCCCCCCCTCCCCCAATTCCTTATAGGGGAAACACATACTAATTAACTGATTACTAACGTAGCATATGATTACAATAACACACATTACAACGAATTACTGATCTACAACTCATTACTAGTCATAACAATTGACTAATTATATTATTACAATACCCCCCCTCCGCCTCAAATCACTGCAGCTGAATGAGTTAAATGATGACGTCACCCTGCTGCTGCTCTATTTAAGACCGGGAGCAAGTGAAGAGGGCTTTACCATTCTGGCGAATTGCCCGATGATGCTGGATGTAATTACCAGCGAAACGTCGTCCTCAAAAAACTGTAAATGTTGTGGATTCACTCTTCAACACACCGGTGGGCTAAAGTAGTGAACTATTTTGTCTTTTGTCAACGTGACACTTTTTTTTTACTTATTGACCGTGTCGGGTGGTGGAGGGTTACGACACATTTATAAATAACGCGATCTAACCCAAAAAGGTTTATCATGAGAGTCCAGTTTACCATGGAAATATAGTTTACCATGTAAGTACAGTTTACCATGGAAATATAGTTTACCATGTAAGTCCAGTTTACCATGCAAGTCCAGTTTACCATGGAAACATAGTTTACCATGAAAGTCCAGTTTACCATGGGAGTCCAGTTTACCATGAAAGTCCAGTTTACCATGAAAGTCCAGTTTACCATGGAAATATAGTTTACCATGAAAGTCCAGTTTACCATGCAAGTCCAGTTTACCATGGAAACATAGTTTACCATGAAAGTCCAGTTTACCATGCAAGTCCAGTTTACCATGGAAACATAGTTTACCATGGAAACATAGTTTACCATGAAAGTCCAGTTTACCATGAAAGTCCAGTTTACCATGCAAGTCCAGTTTACCATGGAAACATACTTTACCATGAAAGTCCAGTTTACCGTGCGAGTCCAGTTTACCATGGAAACATAGTTTACCATGAAAGTCCAGTTTACCATGAAAGTCCAGTTTACCATGGAAACATAGTTTACCATGAAAGTCCAGTTTACCATGAACGTCCAGTTTACCATGGAAACATAGTTTACCATGAAAGTCCAGTTTACCATGGAAACATAGTTTACCATGAAAGTCCAGTTTACCATGGGAGTCCAGTTTACCATGGAAACATAGTTTACCATGAAAGTCCAGTTTACCATGGGAGTCCAGTTTACCATGGAAACATAGTTTACCATGAAAGTCCAGTTTACCATGCAAGTCCAGTTTACCATGGAAACATAGTTTACCATGAAAGTCCAGTTTACCATGGGAGTCCAGTTTACCATGGAAACATAGTTTACCATGAAAGTCCAGTTTACCATGGGAGTCCAGTTTACCATGGAAACATAGTTTACCATGAAAGTACAGTTTACCATGGAAATCCAGTTTACCATGCAAGTCCAGTTTACCATGGGAGTCCAGTTTACCATGGAAACATAGTTTACCATGCAAGTCCAGTTTACCATGAAAGTCCAGTTTACCATGAAAGTCCAGTTTACCATGCAAGTTCAGTTTACCATGAAAGTCCAGTTTACCATGAAAGTCCAGTTTACCATGAAAGTCCAGTTTACCATGGAAACATAGTTTACCATGAAAGTCCAGTTTACCATGCAAGTCCAGTTTACCATGGAAACATAGTTTACCATGCAAGTCCAGTTTACCATGCAAGTTCAGTTTACCATGCAAGTCCAGTTTACCATGAAAGTCCAGTTTACCATGAAAGTCCAGTTTACCATGGAAACATAGTTTACCATGAAAGTCCAGTTTACCATGCAAGTCCAGTTTACCATGGAAACATAGTTTACCATGAAAGTCCAGTTTACAATGGAAATTCAGTTTACCATGCAAGTCCAGTTTACCATGGGATTCCAGTTTACCATGAAAGTCCAGTTTACCATGAAAGTCCAGTTTACCATGGAAACATAGTTTACCATGAAAGTCCAGTTTACCATGCAAGTCCAGTTTACCATGGAAACATAGTTTACCATGAAAATCCAGTTTACCATGGGAGTCCAGTTTACCATGGAAACATAGTTTACCATGAAAGTCCAGTTTACCATGCAAGTCCAGTTTACCATGGGAGTCCAGTTTACCATGCAAGTCCAGTTTACCATGGAAACAGTTTACCATGGGAGTCCAGTTTACCATGAAAGTCCAGTTTACCATGAAAGTCCAGTTTACCATGGAAACATAGTTTACAATGGAAACATAGTTTACCATGCAAGTCCAGTTTACCATGCGAGTCCAGTTTACCATGGAAATCCAGCCGGCAACCTGCAGCTCAGACCGCTGGTCAATCGAGTGATGTAATGGTGGTCCAGCTGTCTTGTGACCCCCCCCCCGCCCATTGAATTCTACTAAACAAAACATAATTTTGAAGTAAGGTTTATTTAAAACAGAAATAAACATGCAAAGGGGAATAAAAACCTTTGGGCTAATTTGTCACAAGACATCTGGACCGCCCCGTACAGTAGTAGAGCATAAACAGACCTGAGTTCTGTACCTGTGCGTGTCTCCACGTGTCAACAAAACTGTTAAATTACTCATTGGTTTTTTTCGGTAAAGTCGCGTATGTAGTAAAAATACATTAAAATAAATCAATCCCGACGTTTCGACCGCAACACAAGCGATCTTCATCAGGTGTAAAAAACAAATAGCACATAGGGTGACATCAACGCAACACATAGAGAGCGTTAAACTGCGCGGAGGTAAATGCAACACGAAGATGAGAGACGAGAATTCAACAAACCTAAGAAAAAATTTTACGTGATGCAAAACCAGTCGGGCCAACGACACAGTTAGACACTTGCCTGGCGGACCACGAATTTCAGAAGAGCGCTAAATTTCGTGTTCATCCTCTGGGTTGAACATACCAGCATAGACAGAGTGAACAAATACGAGGTACAAGTCAGCAGAAATACATGTATACATGGACACCAAGAGGCAAGGAGAGGAAAGACGGACAGAGAAGCAAGAAAAAGGGCCGGAGGGATGAACAGACAGAGGCTTAAATAATCAGTGGGGGGATGGGCCGAAGAGAGCAAGGGGGCACAGCAGCAGCAGCAGAAGAGGGGGGAGGGGTAGGAGAAAGCAAGGGGCACAATAAGTTTAGGACAGAATTGTAAAGGTAACTTCCCCGTAGAAGTGTGTTAATAAAGAATTAAAGATTTCGTGACTGCATAAATTACTCATTGTTTTTTTTGTAAAGTCACGTATGTAGTAAAATATTAAAATAAATCTGTGTCGTTGGCCCGACTGGTTTTGCATCACGTAAAATTTTTCTTAGGTTTGTTGAATTCTCGTCTCTCATCTTCGTGTTGTATTTACCTCCGTGTAAGTTTAACGCTCTCTATGTGTTGCGTTGATGTCACCCTATGTGCTATGTTTTTTTACACCTGATGAAGATCGCTTGTGTCGCGGTCGAAACGTCGTGATTGATTTATTTTAATATAATTTTACTACGTACGCGACTTTACCGAACAAAAAACCAATGAGTAATTTATGCAGTCACGAAAGCTTTAATTCTTTATTAAAACTGTTAAATGTTTACAGTTTTAATAAAGATACCAATATCACCAAGCAGCATGCTGCATGTGTTGGTTGGACTTTCAGATTTATTGGGCTCCCACGGCCGTCTGAGACGGGAGTGTCTCTTGCCAGTAAAGTAACACGTGGCAATTCGGCACAACTCTCGCTCTGTTTGTTTGTTTAACGAGCCCTGTTGTTGAAAGCCGTAAAGTCAGCAGAGAGTTGGACCTTAGACATCCTGAAAGTGAGGCGTACATACGTGGTGTGTTGTGTATGTGTTCCCACGTGTGCAGACACGCAGAGAGGAATTGGCATGGTATATAGGAAGGCTTTGGGGCAATTTGGAACGTGCAGTTTAAAATTAATAACATTTTACGGTTTATATTGTGTTGAAAACGCTAGAACTGTGTACGTAAAAAGCTGTATGAAGGAAAGACAACCCCCCAAAAACTAAAAATTGTTAAGGCTTTCCAACTTTACAGATAAAAAAAGCATTAAAGTTAATCTAGAGCTGGGCAAAGTCGAATAATTAAACCGCTACGGTATTCTAATGGACTATTTGGGTTTTTTTTTTGCGTATGGTTGTTTTACCAGGGCCACCTTTATATAAAACAAAAAGGGTGCTTCAATATTTTTCTAACACTTACATGGGACTAATCGTTTTTAACGGAAAAAACCCGGATAATAATACCCTGTAACGTGATAACAAATACTATTTTTTTGTACGAACAGCTCTCTCGATGGTTCAGCAGTTCTACTGCTGGATTATTTTTTTCCGCCCGAAGACGACCGCTTGTTGTGTTGCGATCGAAACGTTCGTGATTTATTTTATTTTTGTTTTATTTTTCTACCTACGTTGACTTTACCGAAAGAACCAAAGAGTAATTGATTCCTTCAGTCACGAAAGCTTCAAATCAAGATTGATAACAAATGTAATGTTAATAGCTTCAAAAAGTCAAATAGTTTCGATTTAAAGCTTTCGTGACTGCAGGGATGCATATTCTTGGTTCTTTCGGTAAAGTCACGTAGAAGGGAAATAATAAAATAATAAAAATAAAACATAATAAAATGAAATTCTCACGACGTTTCGGCCACAACGCAAGCAGCCGTCTTCGCTGCTTGCGTTGTGGCCGAAACGTCGTGAGAATTTCATTTTATTATATTTTATTTTTATTATTGTATTATTTCCCTTCTACGTGACTTTACCGAAATAACCAAGAATAAAATTCAAAGAGTCTCCACTTGTTCGCCATCACTGTCAACGCCCATGCCTGGCACCTTCTCCAGGTTGGTCACCAGAGCCCAGGGGGAGGCACATTTCTCGTGGTCTTGTTGCAAATTCACAGAAGCGTTAAACATTTTTGTTGAAGCCCCCTGTATATATAACGCACTCACACGTGCTGCTGCCTCCCGAAGGCGGGAAACCCCCTGGACAAGCCACGCCCCCCCAGCGTGACGCATTTGTGTTTCGACAGTTCGTTGTGACGTCAGGACTGTGTCTCGTTGTCTTGGGGGGCGGCGGTGTGGTAGCGGTTAGCGCACCGCGCGCTACAACCCCCGGCATCCCGAGTTCGATTCCCGCTCACGGCCAACACCCGCGACGATCATCTGAACTCGCCCTGAGCCTCCCCTAGGTCGACTCAGCCTCGAATGAGTAGCCGGTGCGGTGTGGTGTAAACATCGCTACTGGGGGGAGACAAAGGCGGCCGGGTGTGGTGCTGGCCACCCACCCTCCCTCGTGTGCCACGGTGTCGGCCTTCATAGGAGCTCGCTAACAGCACTTGCCCCGACAGTCTGTTACAGCCATAATACAGGTTTTTATTTTTATTAGATCGTACAAATGTGTCGTTAAACCCCGCCACCACCCGACACAGCCAATTAGTAAGGGTTGTCACGTAAACAACACGTGTCAATTCATTACTAGTTCAGCCACACACCGGTTGTATGCTGGAGAGTGAACCCAGGACAACACTTTACAATTCCAGTACCGTGACATTTCGCCGGTAATTACAACCAGCCTCATCAGGCGACAGCCAGAGTTATAAACAAATAACTTTAACAACATATACAAATAAAACCAAATAAAGCCCACTGAGCTATTAGCTTATTCTGTCCGAAGTGACCCGGCTTATCACGTGGGAACTTATGGCAGCTAAATGACTCGAAATAATCTAGTGGCGTGTTTCTAAATGTGTACGTGAAAAATCGGACCCGGAGAAAAAAAATCCACACGACCACGGGGAGAACATGCAAACTAAAAATAAACAGGCATCAGGGTTGGGATCGAACCCACGACCTCTTGCATATCAGGCGAGCTAGCTAACATCTCAGCAGTTAACGTCGCCAATTAATATTGTATAAGGGTGGTCCAGATATGTTGTGACCCCCTCCCTCAATTTAATTAATTTATACATTTCTTTGTATACTAATGGTACACAATCCGAGCACGACGTATTGGTCGCGAAAAGCCGAGGTGTTAAGTCCTGTTACAGGCTGCACGGGAGATGTTTGAGGTCTGGGGACTGCTCTTGCATGCCCAGCCACCACATGCCTAAACAGCTTTTGTTCGGCTGGATCGAGGGGGCTAAACGGGCGTGGCACGGGCTAGAGAAGAGATGGAGTGATATGGTACAGGAGGACGTGGAGCTGAGTGGACTTGCCGATGACCGGTACCAGCGGTGTCAAGATCGGCCTCTGTGGAGGAGGCTCGTGAAGGACGCTACTGGGCAGTTGGAGGCAGTCGCTCTCCAACAACAACGGAGGGCGGAGGAGCGACGCTCACAACAACGAGCGGAGCGCCGGGTGGCTAAAGCACAGCAGGTTGGCACAGTAGGGGGCACAGGTGGTGCACCAGCCAGTCGTCTCAGTCAGTCGACCCGTGGCACCTGCTGGGTCTGCCCCGTGACCTCCTGTCAGCGGGCATTCGACACTTCACGTGGCCTCAAGGTGCACATAGCCTGGCACAAGCGTCGTGGCGAATAGCGGTTGGTGCTCTTCCTGTTGTTGTTGTTGCCTTGCCCAAGCTTGCACTTGGGCGGTGAATCGTCCGGAATTGTAGGTTCTTGTGCAATTTCTTATTCGGCACTTAATGATTTATTCATGACGACTCGCTCACAATGCCTCACTTACCTTGCACCGATATCGTCCCTTTTTTACACGCTTTTATTTAACTCACTCTGTTGTTGTTGTTGAAGTTGTTGTTGTCGTTGTTGTTGTTGTATCCTCAAATCTTGTAACTCAATTTTAACCCACTTCCCAATGTGCTATCGACTACAAACTTGGTATACTTATGTCATACTGCTGACAATACTATATTATATAATTTAAAAAAATTTGTAAACATTATTTTGTATATGTTAGATGTTTCGGCTTGGGTCTAATTGTCCACGCTCAACTGACGTTGGCTGTAATTGGCCACGGCCCCTTACATTATGGCAAGCTTCGGGCCACTTCCTGGAGTCGTGGAGTTCTGCCATTACTAGTACGGTACATTTAATAAAAGCGTGTTTTAATGTATTTTTAAATACAGTAAAACCTTGGATTGCGAGTAACTTGGTCTGCGAGTGTTTTTGCAAGACGAGCAAAATTTTTAAATAAATATAAATTTGATAAACGAGCGAGGGTCTTGCAATACGAGCAGCACGCGTAGTACGCTTTGTACTGCCGAGCGTCACGTGATCACAACTGATACATGACGCGTGCTTTGATATACGAGTTGCTTTGGATTACAAGCACGTTAATTATGCTCGCAATCCAAGGCTTTACTGTACTACTTATTTTCGTCTCGTTCGTTTGCCGCCGCTGCAACGTTGCTGGACACCTGTGGCCGAGAAGCTTCGACGCTCCTCGTGCCGTCGAAATTTTTATGATGCGATGACGTCACAAAGGCCTGGCCCACGACGAACCTCCCCCCCCCCCCGTTCGGCGGCTCACGCGAGAACAGCTTTGCGAGACCTTTACTCTACAACAAAAAACGACGTTCTTGCCCGATAAGTCGAGTTACTGAACTGATAATCGCTAGGAGTAATCGATTACGTAATCGATACTCGGATATTTCAGCGCTCATTTAAAAAAAAATTGCAATAAAACCCGCAGTAAAAGACAATCCCTTATTTTGCTCACTAAATAAAAGTAAATTAACGTAAATGTTAACTTACGTTGATTTAAACGCTTCAAAAGAGCCGGGGCCTCATAACAAATGACAAAGATCCCCCGTATAGCCTCAACAAGAGCGATGGGGCAAGTGCTGCTAACAAGGGGGTGGGTGGCCAGCACCGCGCCGCCTTTGTCTCCCCGCGTGACGACCGTTAACACGCCAGGTACAGTACTTTATCCTCACTCACTGTACACACAGTCCGCGTACGGTCAACGCCTCGCTCCCTCACCCAACATGGCCGCTGTCTGAGAGAGAGCGACAGAGAGCGAGCTGAAAGCGGGCGCTCCTCTGTGACGTCACTTCCGTCCACGTGACCTCGACGCCCCCTCCCCTTCCTCCTCGCCGATTGTCACAGAGAACACGATGGCGGCCTCCGAACTCCTCCACGATCTGCTGACGAGCCCCCTGAACCTGGCGCTGCTCGCCCTGTGCGCCTACCTCCTCGTCAAGATCGTCCGAGGCGGCGGCGGCGGAGGCGGCGGCGGCGGCGGAGACGGAGCGGGAGACGGCGGAGGGGAAGAGTCGCTGGCCCGCCTCAAGCGGCGCGACTTCAGCGTCGAGCAGCTCCGCGAGTTCGACGGCGTGCGGAGTCCTCGCATCCTCATGGCGGTCAACGGGAAGGTGTTCGACGTGACGGCGGGGAGACGCTTCTACGGGCCCGGTGAGGCGGGGCGAGCGTGTGGTGTGTGCGTGGTGTGGTGTGTGTGGGCTGTGTGTGTGTGGGCTGTGTGTGTGTGGGCTGTGTGTGTGTGGGCTGTGTGTGTGTGGGGTGTGTGTGTGTGTGTAGTGTGTGTGGTGTGTGTAGTGTGGTGTGTGTGGTGTGTGTGTGGGGTGTGTGTAGTGTGTGTGGTGGTGTGTGTAGTGTGTGTGTGTGGTGGTGTGTGTGGTGGTGTGTGTGGTGTGTGTGTGGTGTGTGTGTAGTGTGTGGTGTGGTGTGTGTGTGGTGTGTGGGGTGTTTGGTGTGTGTGGTGTGGGGTGTGGTGTGTGTGTGTGTGAGGTGTGTGTAGTGTGTGTGTGTGGTGTGTGAGGTGTGTGAGGTGTGTGGGGTGTTGGTGGTGTGTGTGTGTAGTGTGTGTGAGGTGTGTGTGTGGTGTGTGTGTGGCGTGTGTGTGTGGTGTGTGTGTGGTGTGTGTGTAGTGTGTGGTGTGGTGTGTGTGTAGTGTGTGTGGTGTGTGAGGTGTGTGTGGTGTGGTGTGTGTAGTGTGTGTGTGTAGTGTGTGTGTGTGTGTGTGGTGTGTGGGGTGTGTGTGAGGTGTGTGTGTGTGTGGGGTGTGTGGCGTGGGGTGGTGTGTGTGGGGTGTGTGGGGGGTGTGGTGTGTGGGGTGTGTGGGGTGTGGGTGTGGTGTGTGTCTGGGTTGTGTGTGTGTGGTGTGTGTGGTGTGTGTGTGTGGGGTGTGTGTCTGGGTTGTGTGTGTGGGTTGTGTCTGGGTTGTTTGTTTGTGGGGGGGGGGGGGTGTGTGGGGTGTGTTTGTGTCTGGGTTGTTTGTGGGGTGTTTGTGTGGGTATGTGGGTTGTTTGTGTATGTGGGGTGTGTGTGGGTTGTTTTTGTCTGGGTTGTGTGTGTGTGTGTTGTTTGAGTGTGGGGGGTGTGTGGGTTGTCTGTGTGTGGGTGGTTTGTTTGTGTGTGGGGTGTGTGGGTTGTCTGTATGTGTGTGTGGGGTGTTCCAACAGGTTGGAATAGACAATCGGTGATAGTGTGTCTGTTCTACTACAGCTGCACCATCACACAACACCAAATACACTGCAAAACACATTGAACACTATACACCACACACCACATAACCGCACACCACACTGCACACCACACTGCACACCACACAACCACACCACAGACCACACCGCACAAGCACACCACACTGCACACCGCACAACCACGCCGCACACCACACAGCACACCACACAGCACATCATACTGCACGCCACACTACCACACAGCCACACTGCACACCCGCGAACCCGGTGTCAAACTGTGACTTCGTGGACTTATTGCCTCCTTCCGCACTCGGCCATTCCTCGGCCACCACTTAGTCCCGTCACGATCCTTGGCCGCCGTCCCATCCTAGACCCGTCGTGTTCCCGTGCCCAAAAACAGAAACAGCAGCAGCCGATCGGCACGCGAGGTGCAGGAGGTCACGGGACAGACCCTGCAGGTGCCGTGGGTTGACTGCTGTGCCAGGCTACGTGCAGGAGGTCACGGGACAGACCCTGCAGGTGCCGTGGGTTGACTGCTGTACCAGGCTAGGTGCAGGAGGTCACGGGATAGACCCTGCAGGTACCGTGGGTTGACTGCTGTGCCAGGCTACGTGCAGGAGGTCACGGGACAGACCCTGCAGGTGCCGTGAGTTGACTGCTGTACCAGGCTAGGTGCAGGAGGTCACGGGACAGACCCTGCAGGTGCCATGGGTTGACTGCTGTACCAGGCTAGGTGCACCAGCTGTGCACACCCTGCTGTGCCCGCTCTCACTTTGCGTTAGTCGCCTGCGTATGTTCTAGATTCCGCGTTGTCCTTTCTCTCCCTCGGTGTGTTATTGAAACCGAGCATCTCGCTGTCTGACCCTTCCGTGCACTTTGCAGAGTTGTTGCTCCGTTTCTCTTGTTATTGACTGTGTTTCTGAACCAGGCCACACGTGACAGGCAGCACGCACTGATCACGCACGCACACACAGATTCTCCAGGGACCCCCCACCGTGTAGCCCACACACAGATTCTCCAGGGACCCCCCCACCGTGTAGCCCACACAGAGATTCTCCAGGGACCCCCCCACCGTGTAGCCCACACACAGATTCTCCAGGGACCCCCCCACCGTGTAGCCCACACAGAGATTCTCCAGGGACCCCCCACCCCGTGTAGCCCACACAGAGATTCTCCAGGGACCCCCCACCGTGTAGCCCACACAGAGATTCTCCAGGGACCCCCCCCACCGTGTAGCCCACACACAGATTCTCCAGGGACCCCCCCACCGTGTAGCCCACACAGAGATTCTCCAGGGACCCCCCACCCCGTGTAGCCCACACACAGATTCTCCAGGGACCCCCCACCGTGTAGCCCACACACAGATTCTCCAGGGACCCCCCCACCGTGTAGCCCACACAGATTCTCCAGGGACCCCCCACCGTGTAGCCCACACAGAGATTCTCCAGGGACCCCCCCACCCCGTGTAGCCCACACAGAGATTCTCCAGGGACCCCCCACCGTGTAGCCCACACAGAGATTCTCCAGGGACCCCCCACCCCGTGTAGCCCACACACAGATTCTCCAGGGACCCCCCACCCCGTGTAGCCCACACAGAGATTCTCCAGGGATCCCCCACCCGTGTAGCCTACACAGAGATTCTCCAGGGACCCCCCCCCCCCCCCCACGTAGCCTACACAGAGATTCTCCAGGGACCCCCCACCCCCCCACCGTGTAGCCCACACAGAGATTCTCCAGGGACCCCCCACCGTGTAGCCCACACAGAGATTCTCCAGGGACCCCCCACCCCGTGTAGCCCACACACAGATTCTCCAGGGACCCCCCACCGTGTAGCCCACACAGAGATTCTCCAGGGACCCCCCACCCCCCACCGTGTAGCCCACACAGAGATTCTACGGGGAAGTGCCGTGTCGCCTTGCCAGTACGCGTACGTGCCTAGCAGGGGAAGGCCGGCGTCTTGGAGAAGGGACGATGACCTTCTGCACACGCGAGCGGCGTCGGGCGCCTACTTGACGTACCGCCGCCTACCGAGTGGTGTGACGCACTTGGGCTGGCCCCGGCCCGGCCGCCTCGCCACTGGACTCCACCGGCTCGCGCTGCCGCCAGCGTTTCAGATGTTCGCCACTCCTAGATCGCCAATCTCGACACGCAGATAATACTCATTGCTGACCGACTCACCACCATTCCAACTCCCCATACCGTAGCAACTCACCACACCATACCAACTCCCCACAACATACCAACTCCCCACACCATACCAACTCCCCACACCATACCAACTCCCCACACCATGCCAACTCCCCACACCATACCAACTCTCCACACCATACCAACTCCCCCACACCATACCAACTCCCCACAACATACCAACTCCCCACACCATACCAACTCCCACACCATACCGACTTCCCCCCACACCATACCAACTCCCCCACACCATACCAACTCCCCACAACATACCAACTCCCCACACCATATCAACTCCCACACCATACCGACTTCCCCCCACACCATAGCAACTCCCCCACAACATACCAACTCCCCACACCATACCAACTCCCACACCATACCGACTTCCCCCAACACCATACCAACTCCCCACCATACCAGAGATTAACGAGGTTTGTACTGTGGACACACCAGCGCCAATTGTGTGCTCTACTTCGTGATCTCCGCCTGTTTCAGGGGAGGTGGTTAGGAGAGCAAACAAAGGTTTGGGGGGAGACTCTGAACCTTCAAACGTTGAGGCCAAGGGTTCAAATTCCAGCCATTGCTTGAGATTAAAAAAATTGTTTTGGAGGTTACTACCTGTTGGCCGATGGCCACACAACCCACTCGTTCGTGCAAATCGAGCGTATGTGGCAGACGACTAGTAAACCTGTGCTTGCCGTTGGTTATGATGATGATGATGATCACGGGCATGTTACTGATGTCAGTGGTTGCTGGGGTTGATAGCCCAGCAGAGCTTGCGGCGGTGTAGCAGTTAGCCCAGCAGGGTTAGCGGCGGTGTAGCAGTTAGCCCAGCAGGGTTAGCGGCGATGTAGCAGTTAGCCCAGCAGGGTTAGCGGCGATGTAGCAGTTAGCCCAGCAGGGTTAGCGGCGATGTAGCAGTTAGCCCAGCAGGGTTAGCGGCGATGTAGCAGTTAGCCCAGCAGGGTTAGCGGCAATGTAGCAGTTAGCCCAGCAGGGTTAGCGGCGATGTAGCGATTAGTAGCAGTTAGCGGCGGTGCAGCGGTGTTGCGGTTAGTGGCGGTGTAGCGGTTAGTGGCGGTGTAGCGGTTAGTGGCGGTGTAGCGGTTAGTGGCGGTGTAGGGGTTAGCGGCAGTGTAGTGGTTAGTGGCGGTGTAGCGGTTAGTGGCGGTGTAGTGGTTAGCGGCGGTGTAGTCGTTAGCGGCGGTGTAGTGGTTAGTAGCGGTGTAGCGGTTAGTGGTGGTTAGTGGCGGTGTAGGGGTTAGTGGTGGTTAGTGGCGGTGTAGCGGTTACTGGTGGTTAGTGGCGGTGTAGGGGTTAATAGTGGTTGGCGGCGGTGTAGCGGTTAGTGGCGGTGTAGCGGTTAGTGACGGTGTAGGAGTTAGTAGTGGTTAGTGGCGGTGTAGCGGTTAGTGGCGGTGTAGGAGTTAGTAGTGGTTAGTGGCAGTGTAGGAGTTAGTAGTGGTTAGTGGCAGTGTAGGAGTTAGTAGTGGTTAGTGGCGGTGTAGCGGTTAGTGGCGGTGTAGGAGTTAGTAGTGGTTAGTAGTGGTGTAGTGGTTAGTGGCGGTGTAGGAGTTAGTAGTGGTTAGTGGCAGTGTAGGAGTTAGTAGTGGTTAGTGGCAGTGTAGGAGTTAGTAGTGGTTAGTGGCGGTGTAGGAGTTAGTAGTGGTTAGTGGCAGTGTAGGAGTTAGTAGTGGTTAGTGGCGGTGTAGGAGTTAGTAGTGGTTAGTGGCGGTGTAGGAGTTAGTAGTGGTTAGTGGCGGTGTAGGAGTTAGTAGTGGTTAGTGGCGGTGTAGGAGTTAGTAGTGGTAAGTGGCGGTGTAGTTGTTAGCGATGTTGTAGCAGTTGGCAGCGGTGTTGCTGGGTTGGGTCGTGCGCAGCAAGCCGAGTCCGATTCCCACTGGCAGCCAACATCGGTGACGAATGTCTGAACCCTTCCGGGGCCTCCCCTACGTCGAATCGGCCTCAAATGACGACCTGTTGCGGCGTGTAAACATCAGGCAAAGTCAGCCAGGCGTGGCGCCGGTCACCCACTTTAGCAAGCGCTTGCCAAGGGCTGTTGACGGCCGTGTGTGTGCGTGCGCGGGGGATCTTTGTCGAGGGTTGCTTGATGATAATGGTCGTGACGGGAGCGCGAGTCGCGATGGTGGTCTTCCTCTTCTCCATTCGTGTGGGTTAATAGCAGCGAGGCGTAGACTCTGTTATCCACGCGGTTGTCCGTTCAGAAGCGAGAGCGCCTCTCGGTCCGCACCGCGATGCCGGTGGACGGCTTTGGGATTCGCGGCGGCGCCAGTCGCCGGCCGCCGAATCTTTGGCGCGCCGTTTGTGGCATCGGGCGGCCGCGTCGGCCCCGGTCACGATTCGGTTGATGGCCGACCGTCGGTGGCGCGCGGAAGGTTGAAACCGGTAGAGGCTCACCGGTGGAGCTGCCGCGCGAGAGGCGTTTAGTTTTGTAGATACGGTGGCCTGGCAAGTACAACGCACCGGTGTGCTGCACTTGTGTGGAATTGGCCGCGTTCTGTTGGCCGTGTCGTGGCGGTGGCGGTTTTAACGACACACACTTTTATATAAAACATTTTTTTTCCCGCGATCTTAACCCAAAAGAAAAACCTGCACTGCATTGTGAACGTTCCGTTTTGTCGTGGGCCGCCGTCCAAACTCTTACGGTGGCGGTGACGGGGTCGTTTGTGCCCCCGCGTAACGCAGAGGGCCCCTACGGGGTGTTCGCCGGGCGCGACGCCTCGCGCGGCCTCGCCACGTTCTGCCTGGACCGCGACGCGCTGAAGGAGGGATACGACGACCTCTCGGACATGTCGCCCACCGAGATGGAGAGCGTTTACGAATGGGAGATGCAGTTCACGGGTCAGTCTGGCGTCACCCCCCCTCGCACCCCCCCTCACACCCCCCCACCCCCCTGCACCCCCCCACCCCCCTGCACCCCCACCCCCCTGCATTTACCTCTGCACATTTTTTATGTCGTTTTGCAAATCCGTCGTGGCGTTATCATTAACGTGACACCATTAACGTGTGGTTATCATTAACATGACATCATTAACGTGACATCATTAACGTGACATCGTTAACGTGATGTTATCATTAACGTGACATCATTAACGTGACATCATTAACGTGAGATCATTAACGTGTGGTTATCATTAACATGACATCATTAACGTGACATCGTTAACGTGACATCGTTAACGTGACGTTATCATTAACGTGATGTTATCATTAACGTGACTTCATTAACGTGACGTTATCATTAACGTGACGTTATCATTAACGTGACGTTATCATTAACGTGACGTTATCATTAACGTGTGGTTATCATTAACATGACATTAACGTGTGGTTATCATTAACGTCACGATATTATTAACGTCACCTAATAATTAACGTGACGTTATCATTAATGTGACATCTTTAACGTGACATCATTAACGTGACGTTATCATTAACGTGTGGTTATCATTAACCTGTGGTTATGTGACGTCAGCGTGACGTTATCATTAACGTGTGGTTATCATTATCCTGTGGTTATGTGACGTCAACGTGACGTTATCATTAAAGTGACATCATTAACCTGTGGTTATGTGACGTCAACGTGACGTTATCGTCAACGCCGCTATCCGACTGGCGTCGCCTCAGCCCCCCTCATGCGCTCACGTCGCTAACGGCATCGTCGAAGTCGTCATTATCGTCGTCGTCATTATCATCATCATTGTCATCATCATCATTGTCATCATTATCATCATCATTGTCATCATCATCGTCATTGTCATCGTCGTCATTGTCATCATCATCGTTGTCGTCATCATTGTCATCATCATTGTCATCGTCGTCATTGTCATCATCATCGTTGTCGTCATCATTGTCATCATCATTGTCATCGTCGTCATTGTCATCATCATTGTCATCATTATCATCATCATTGTCATCATCATCGTCATTGTCATCGTCGTCATTGTCATCATCATCGTTGTCGTCGTCATTGTCATCGTCGTCGTGTTCCGTCTTTTCTCGTTACCATCGCCTCTCAGCCTTCGCCGCCACCACCGCCACGACTACTGCCACTACTACTACTACTACCCTACGGATCACTTCGATTGACGTGATTTCGATATTCGTTGTCACACCCTTCACACCCTTCAGGGACGCATCCCTCCCGCCCCTCCCCCGCCGACGTGAACTAGCGGCGGGGGCGTGGGGGGGGGCATGCTGCCAGCGGCACACCAGGCAGTGAGGGGGGTACCCAACAGGCTGGGGAACCACGCTGCCCTACGGACACGGGGAGGCTCTCTCAATGGGGACCGGCTTGTCAGCTTGCCGCGGTGTCAGTGACGTTGTGTCGTGGTGGCGTTGTGTCGTTTTACTTGTGTCGTGGTATAGTTGTGTCATTGTAGTTGTGTCGTTTTACTTGTGTCGTGGTATAGTTGTGTCACTGTAGTTGTGTCGTGGTATAGCTGTGTCATTGTAGTTGTGTCGTGGTATAGTTGTGTCATTGTAGTTGTGTCGTTTTACTTGTGTCGTGGTATAGTTGTGTCACTGTAGTTGTGTCGTGGTATAGTTGTGTCGTTTTACTTGTGTCGTGGTATAGTTGTGTCATTGTAGTTGTGTCGTGGTATAGTTGTGTCGTGGTATAGTTGTGTCGTGGTATAGTTGTGTCGTGGTATAGCTGTGTCGTGGTATAGCTGTGTCATTGTAGTTGTGTCGTGGTATAGTTGTGTCATTATAGTTGTGTCGTTTTACTTGTGTCGTGGTATAGTTGTGTCACTGTAGTTGTGTCGTGGTATAGCTGTGTCATTGTAGTTGTGTCGTGGTATAGTTGTGTCATTGTAGTTGTGTCGTTTTACTTGTGTCGTGGTATAGTTGTGTCACTGTAGTTGTGTCGTGGTATAGTTGTGTCGTTTTACTTGTGTCGTGGTATAGTTGTGTCACTGTAGTTGTGTCGTGGTATAGTTGTGTCGTTTTACTTGTGTCGTGGTATAGTTGTGTCATTGTAGTTGTGTCGTGGTATAGTTGTGTCGTGGTATAGCTGTGTCATTTTACTTGTGTCATGGTATAGTTGTGTCACTGTAGTTGTGTCGTGGTATAGTTGTGTCACTGTAGTTGTGTCGTGGTATAGTTGTGTCGTTTTACTTGTGTCGTGGTATAGTTGTGTCATTGTAGTTGTGTCGTGGTATAGTTGTGTCGTGGTATAGTTGTGTCGTGGTATAGTTGTGTCGTGGTATAGCTGTGTCATTGTAGTTGTGTCGTGGTATAGTTGTGTCATTATAGTTGTGTCGTTTTACTTGTGTCGTGGTATAGTTGTGTCACTGTAGTTGTGTCGTGGTATAGCTGTGTCATTGTAGTTGTGTCGTGGTATAGTTGTGTCATTGTAGTTGTGTCGTTTTACTTGTGTCGTGGTATAGTTGTGTCACTGTAGTTGTGTCGTGGTATAGTTGTGTCGTTTTACTTGTGTCGTGGTATAGTTGTGTCACTGTAGTTGTCGTGGTATAGTTGTGTCGTTTTACTTGTGTCGTGGTATAGTTGTGTCATTGTAGTTGTGTCGTGGTATAGTTGTGTCGTGGTATAGCTGTGTCATTTTACTTGTGTCATGGTATAGTTGTGTCACTGTAGTTGTGTCGTGGTATAGTTGTGTCGTGGTATAGTTGTGTCATTGTAGTTGTGTCATGGTATAGCTGTGTCATTGTAGTTGTGTCGTGGTATGGCTGTGTCATTGTAGTTGTGTCATTGTAGTTGTGTCGTGGTATAGCTGTGTCATTGTAGTTGTGTCGTGGTATAGTTGTGTCGTGGTATAGTTGTGTCATTGTAGTTGTGTCGTGGTATAGCTGTGTCATTGTAGTTGTGTCGTGGTATAGTTGTGTCGTGGTATAGTTGTGTCGTGGTATAGCTGTGTCGTGGTATAGCTGTGTCATTGTAGTTGTGTCGTGGTATAGTTGTGTCGTGGTATAGTTGTGTCGTTTTACTTGTGTCGTGGTATAGCTGTGTCATTGTAGTTGTGTCGTGGTATAGTTGTGTCGTGGTATAGCTGTGTCATTGTAGTTGTGTCGTGGTATAGCTGTGTCATTGTAGTTGTGTCGTGGTATAGTTGTGTCGTGGTATAGTTGTGTCATTGTAGTTGTGTCGTGGTATAGTTGTGTCATTGTAGTTGTGTCGTGGTATAGTTGTGTCGTGGTATAGTTGTGTCATTGTAGTTGTGTCGTGGTATAGCTGTGTCATTGTAGTTGTGTCGTGGTATAGTTGTGTCGTTATAGTTGTGTCGTGGTATAGTTGTGTCATTGTAGTTGTGTCGTAGTATAGTTGTGTCGTGGTATAGTTGTGTCGTGGTATAGTTGTGTCATTGTAGTTGTGTCGTGGTATAGTTGTGTCGTGGTATAGTTGTGTCGTGGTATAGTTGTGTCGTTATAGTTGTGTCGTGGTATAGTTGTGTCATTGTAGTTGTGTCGTGGTATAGTTGTGTCGTGGTATAGTTGTGTCATTGTAGTTGTGTCGTGGTATAGTTGTGTCGTTATAGTTGTGTCGTGGTATAGTTGTGTTATTGTAGTTGTGTCGTGGTATAGTTGTGTCGTGGTATAGTTGTGTCATTGTAGTTGTGTCGTGGTATAGTTGTGTCGTGGTATAGTTGTGTCGTGGTATAGTTGTGTCATGGTATAGTTGTGTCGTGGTATAGTTGTGTCGTGGTATAGTTGTGTCGTGGTATAGTTGTGTCACTGTAGTTGTGTCATTGTAGTTGTGTCATTGTAGTTGTGTCGTGGTGGCGTTGTGTCGTTTTACTTGTGTCGTGGTATAGTTGTGTCATGGTATAGTTGTGTCGTTTTACTTGTGTCGTGGTATAGTTGTGTCATTGTAGTTGTGTCGTGGTATAGCTGTGTCATTGTAGTTGTGTCGTGGTATAGTTGTGTCGTGGTATAGTTGTGTCGTGGTATAGTTGTGTCATTGTAGTTGTGTCGTGGTATAGCTGTGTCATTGTAGTTGTGTCGTGGTATAGTTGTCATTGTAGTTGTGTCGTGGTATAGCTGTGTCATTGTAGTTGTGTCGTGGTATAGTTGTGTCACTGTAGTTGTGTCGTGGTATAGCTGTGTCATTGTAGTTGTGTCATTGTAGTTGTGGTGTTGTGTCGTGATGTTGTGTCGTCGTTGTATTGTGATGTTCCGCGCGCTCTGCTGCTGCCCGCCGCCTTACAGAGAAGTACCACCACGTGGGCCGGCTTCTCAAGCCTGGCGAGGAGCCCAACGAGTACTCGGACACGGAGTCTTCGAGCGAGCGCACAAAGGACGACTAGAGAGAGAGAGAGAGGAGACGGAGAGAGACGCGACGCAGCCTCGCTCCACCCCGACTCGGCAAACCACGTTCACCCTGCCCCCCCTACCCCCGCACGGCGATTCATTACTCGGTTAAACGATTCGGCGTGCCGCGAATTGTTCCTTTATTTTTTTGCTGTTTAAACGTCGTCGTGAACGTCCGCGCCTCCAGCGTCCCCCTGCCCGGGGGCCACCTTGGTCAGTCCGCCGCCGGGGTCGAGGCCTTCCCCCGCGCGGCCCGTCGGCTGCAAGAAGAGCCCCGCCTTCGCCGGAGCTCGCCACGCCGGTCGCCGCTGCGGGTCGGTCGCGTGGACCTGCAAAGCGATCCGTCACCGCGCGCGCCATTGCGACGCGTGCCGGCGGAGGAGCCGATGTTGCCGGGTGAACCGGTGCAAGGTTCGACGCCTCCCCCTCCCCACCCCCCCCCCCCCCCCCCCCTTTCCGTCTGCGGCAAAGGCGAGGGTCGACAGATTCGAGTGTTGCAGTGTCGCCGGCGTCGGCGAAGCCTCGGTCAAATCACGCGTGGGCGAAGGATGGACTCGCTCGCCGGTTCGTTTGACGCCCGCGGCCAGTGGACGCCCGCTCTGTGCGCCAACGCACCTTCCCCGATTCGCACAGTCGGCGCACGTGCGGGTGCGAAAGAAGTTCGGGCGTGCGTGCATCGCAACCAACTCAAGAAAAACAATGCATCGTCGGTAATTATTTAACCGAATCGTGGCAATTTAATCGAACGGTGGTGGATGGGGAGGCGATTTGACACGAAGCCTTAGGTTCCACAATGCCTCGGCCCTATCCCTTCACCGCAGGCAGCCGCAATCAATCCGACCCAACCATGCCCAACCCAACCCTAGCCCAGCGTCCTCCTCTCCAACCGCAGGCTCGCACCCCGCTCCCCCGACAACTCCCACACCACCAGGTCCCACCATCGAACCCTGCCCTCGTCGACGCTGCGTCCAATCGCATCGCGCGCTCCCGGCCGCCGACGCGGCCGCTGCCCCTTTCCGCCGGGGACTCTGATCGCACTGGCGAGCGAGCAGCGGTACCGTGGGCTAGGAGCAGGGCCCAAGCAGTTTGCTGCTACCGCCCCCCGCTGGTGCATCGTTTGGCTTGTTGTTGGGGGGAAGGGGCGGGGCGGGGGGGGGGGCGGTCTAATTGAAAGTGTCCGGAGAAAACCAAGTTCACGTTCGAGGGGAATACGTCCAAGCTCCACGGGATTCCACGGTGGCTAGGAGGTGTCAACTACCGCGCCTGGTACGCAGGAGGTTGTGGGTTCGATCGGGACCCTGACGAAGCCCGCTGTAAATTTGGCGTTTGCGTGTCTCTCTCTCCCCGTGGTGGCGTGGATTTTTCTCCGTGTCCTCCGGTTTTTCGCCCCCGCGATTAGCCTCAACATCGCTATGCGTTTGGAGTATTTTGGCTGCCTTAAATTTCCAAGCGACGATGAGAAGCCGCTTCGTTGAGTTGTCATTTGCGGCCAGGGTGTTTCCGAAAAAGAGCCGCGTAGCAGCTCCGTGGGGCCTTATCCGGCAAAATAAAAATAGTTTCGTTTAAACTCGGCTATACAGATCCATCCGAAACCTAGTCGGTGTCCTGTCTCCCACGAGCGCTGGATTGCAGGCCATAGTAGTAACTCGGGACTGACGTGGCTCAACGGAACGGAGTCTTTCCCGCTCTGCGAGGTCACCAAGGCGTTCCATTGTGTAGCTTATCGCCAGCCGACAGCGGACTGGAGGAGGAAGTGCTTTAAAATGACAACATAGGGGGAGCTCGTAACGGTCATCGGGGGCATTGTGTACCGGCATCGTAAGTTGCGAGTCCTGGGATTGAGTCGTCGGGATTGAGGTGTCCACGGTCAAAGCCGGTTCCGAAGCGCAAGGGAGAGGATTCTCAGCCGAGGTCACTCTTGTGAAAGATCCCAACGCGGAAGATCCCCCCCCCCCCCCCCCCCCCCCCCCCCCCCCCCCCCCCCCCCCCCCCCCCCCCCCGGCGTTTCGATCTTCCACGAAGCTGCTCCTGGTCACCACCCTCGGCCGCATCCACGCCACAAATCATGGCAGCGGCAGATGCGGGGATACCTGATGATGCACGAATGGAAAATTAAAAACTCTCTCCGGTAGTGGTGGTGTGCGACTGTGGTCATTCATACATCCGGAACAGTCCGTGCAACGTGCAACGTCTCAGTGCCACCCCGATTCACAGATGCGAAGTAGGAGACATCGCGGCAACAGTACACACCGCCGCTCCTCCTGACGCGGTTATCTGGGCTTCGCCACCTACCTGCGCGTGTGGGATTGCCCGCTGTTGTTTCTGCGTCGCCATCATCGGCCGCACGAAAGCAGAAGCCTGGTGACCGTGTAACGAAGCCACCCTGGCTGCTGCTGCTGCTGCTACTGCATCTTGCCCCGACTGGCTCGCTAACAAAGCGTGACAATAGATCTTCGGGCGACTTGTCCGCTTGGTGGGGGGGGGGGGGTGGTGCTTAGATCCTTTTTGATTTGATCAATTTGTGTCCCTCACGCAATGGGTTCACGTCGCACCCCCGCGGCCCCTCCGGGTGGTGCTGAACCTGGACCCCGGGGATGGAACCGCAGGATCCCAACGGCGGCGACGAATGGCCCTGAAATGTTCTCACCCCGCCCCCCCCCCCCCTGCTCATTACTGCTCATTGCCCAATGGGGAGTGGCTGTGGCTTGAGATGTTGCTCTGGGGGGGTGGGGGTGGGTTCCCATCCCCACCCCCACCCCCCCATACATGATTGCTTTTGTGGCAGTTTAAACAATTTTTATATTGGATACAACAGTTTTATATGGACACTCTGTGTGTGTATATATACAGTGAGGGAAAAAAGTATTTGATCCCCTGCCGATTTTGTACGTTTGCCCACTGACAAAGAAATGATCAGTTTATAATTTTAATGGTAGGGGATCAAATACTTTTTTCCCTCACTGTACATGCGATGATCGAATCACTTTCCTGAACGTCCCCAAACCAGTCCCGTGTGTCCAGTTGCCCGTTCGGATCGAGAGCCAAAGTTCAACAGCCGCGCAATAGATGGCGGTGGTGGCATCTACATCTGCAGAACGTGAAGAACCAGTGGCATCTACATCTGCAGAACGTGAAGAACCAGTGGCATCTACATCTGCAGAACGTGAAGAACCAGTGGCATCTACATCTGCAGAACGTGAAGAACCAGCAGCATCTAAATCTGCAGAACGTGAAGAGCCAGTGGCACCTACATCTGCAGAACGTGAAGAACCAGTGGCATCTACATCTGCAGAACGTGAAGAACCAGTGGCATCTACATCTGTAGAACGTGAAGAACCAGTGGCATCTACATCTGCAACACGTGAAGGAGATTATTCAACTTTTAAAGCAATCCCCCGTGTGTAGTCTTCATGCCGCAACAAAGTGTTTGGATTGGACGGGAGTAAAGTTGGACTTGCGAACAGTCCTCTGGAACCAAGCTCGTTCGTAAGTAAGAGGAGTCCCTTTATGTGTATTATGTAATATGCGACGTTTCAGGCGATGGGCCTTCTTCGCAGCCACGTGCATCACATGGCGCGAAAGAAAAACGTGCAACAGCGCGTGACGTTTCGGGCGGTGGGCCTTGTTCACGGCGCTGCGAAGAACGTCAGCCACGGTGTATTTTCCCTCTCGAGGCCCCACCGTGTTCTCCTACGAAGCGTTGAGTTTTTTTTTTAATCCTCGTGTAGGGTATTTGGCCTACTCTTCCACGGTGGCCAGACGTCATATAGGAGCTGCGACATTGCTCATATAAAAGTTTTACGTTCGCATAAACATCGCAATGCGCGTGACAATTATTTACTGCAATCCATTTAAAAAAAAACAAAAGCCGCCACCGTACAGCATCGACAACGACGATGACGACAGCAACCGAAGCGCAGCATGGTTAAGATTTTGAGCAGTGGGGCTTGTTGAGGGCGGGGCATAGGGGAACATGACCGCATCACGGAAGGGGTCACGGAGGGGAGCGTGACGATCCTGCGGGGTCATGGAAGGGGTCACGGAAGGGGTCACGGAGGGGAGCGTGACGATCCGGCGGGGTCACGGAAGGGGTCACGGAAGGGGTCACAGAGGGGAGCGTGACGATCCGGCGGGGTCACGGAAGGGGTCACGGAGGGGAGCATGACGATCCTGCGGGGTCACGGAAGGGGTCACGGAGGGGAGCGTGACGATCCTGCGGGGTCACGGAAGGGGTCACGGAAGGGGTCACGGAAGGGGTCACAGAGGGGAGCGTGACGATCCGGCGGGGTCACGGAAGGGGTCACGGAGGGGAGCATGACGATCCTGCGGGGTCACGGAAGGGGTCACGGAGGGGAGCATGACGATCCTGCGGGGACACGGAAGGGGTCACGGAGGGGAGCATGACGATCCTGCGGGGTCACGGAAGGGGTCACGGAGGGGAGCATGACGATCCTGCGGGGTCACGGAAGGGGTCACGGAGGGGAGTGTGACGATCCGGCGGGGTCACGGAAGGGGTCACGGAGGGGAGCGTGACGATCCTGCGGGGTCACGGAAGGGGTCACGGAAGGGGTCACGGAGGGGGTTCCACGCAGCGGTGCCCACGGGAGCCACGTCACCCGGGCCCTTTGCCGCGTCACCGCTCTGCTCCACTGGTGCCCCGAGACGTGCGCCCCTGCGGACCCCCCCCCCCCCCCCTACCCTTGTTGCCGCTCTCATACCAAACGTGACTGTTGTTTCGTTGTGTGCATGGGCGCATTGTAAAGACTGCAGTCAACGCGCCTCGTGCTCACATCGTTTCGGTTACAAGCGGGACGACGACGACGAGGTTTCAGATGCAGCCGTGTCGATGGATCGTGCGTTGAACCCCTGGGTTAACAGATGAAGTGAGCGACGCACCACGGCGTATGTAACAGGTGTCGTAGCCCGTCGTGACCAACGTTACCGTCAGTGATAATGTTTTTGGCTCGGATTGGCACGTGAATGAATTGCCAATGGTGACTTGTACCACCACCACCACCCTCCTCCACCCGAAACAGCCGAGTAAAGTCGCGCGAAGAGAGACGTGCCAACGGCATTTGCCATCTATCGCTTCGGCGCCACCGCTGTTGCCGAAGAGCGGGATCTGGAACATTGCAGCGATCTGCTCCCCCGCCGGGCGCTCGCGACGCGCGATGGCCAGGCTTGTGGCAGTCTCTGTCAAGTGTGTCGCGTGGAGCCGACACGCGCGTCGGCAATTGTACTCGCGTGACGGAACCCCAAAATTTATGTTTAAAAAAAAAATGGAATGACGGACGCGATCCTGGTGCGTGCGTTGGAAGGTTTACGAATCGTCCCGGCAACGGCTGTAACATTTGCACCTTGCCGGGAGCAACGCCTGGATGCCAGATTAAGCGCATTTATATCTTCTTATATTTTCTTTTCCTTTCTTCCTGTGCTCCGCGATACAACTTTTGATGATTTTTGTAATCTTTTGACTCTTGGAAATGTAACGAAACAAAAAAAACATAAACGTACTAGAGGTAATTTGAATATGAAATGTGAAATAAATAAAATATGCTCGCTACGAACTTCGGTTGTGCCCTGAATTCCTCTTTTGAGAGATATCGACTGAGGGCTGGGCGCAGCGTCACCCCGCCCTGGTCGATCCACTGCTGGATGAAGGCCCTCCGCACGCCGCCGCCGCTCACGACTCCTCGACGCACCGATCCACCCGGGCACCTGCGCACGAGCGGACTTCATTGCTCCATCTCGGCGGCTTGGAAGTTCGTAATTTCGCGAGTGCGGAGCGTTAAGCCGGGCGAGTTGTGCTGAACGCACTTTGAACGTCTTCCGCGCACCCTACGTGGGCCAACCGTGCGAATGGGAGGCGTGACGCATGACAGCGATTCCGGTCTCGGTTCAGCCGACCTCGCGCGCGTGTGTGTGTGCCGTATGTTCCGTCTTGTTCTGCGAGTGTCTCTTCCCTTGGCCTACAACCTAACGCTTGAGTGCCATTTTCATGCAGCGTAAATTATCGGTTGTTCCAAGAAGAACGATTCGAAGTAGCCGAAAAGAACCAATTTGAATCGGTGAGGAGCTGAAGAAATTAACTTGCAGGAGGGAAAGCCCACAGTCAGCAGAGCCTCGGATCAGTAATTCTGGAGCGACTCCATCAGGCCTCACCCAACGCTGGACGGGAAATCTGTAAAACCGAGTCACTCTCCTCCCCTCCCCCCACCTGAGCCATCGGTTGCACGCAACTGAATCGCTTCCGTTTTGCTCGCAGTCGAGTCGGCCTCGGACTCGACTGCCGAGCATCCATCCGCTCGGGAATTTTGTCGGGCGGCGTTCAGGATCGGTCGCGGCGGATCCTGAACGCGAGCCGATTGAACAACAGTGAAGATATCAAATTTCCCCTTTCGCTGCAACGGGCTTCTACGCGCGGAAGGGCAAATCGGCAACCGCCGGGCGGCGATTTTACGCTGCGAGGTTTTGGATGTGGGGAGGAGGGAGGTGGGGGCAGGGGGCAGCGGCGGCGTGTGGGAGCGATCGCTCGCAAGAAGCTGGTGCCGGGTCCAAGCGCTTCGCCCAACGACTGCCAGGGTTGGGCTCGTCCAAGTTGCCACCGCTTCTCCTCGGTGGTGGTGGTGGTGGTGGGGTCAGTGACCGCACCGGCGGATCGAACGAGCCTTTGTCGCTGGGAGCCGCGGTGTGAGAGATTGGTTGTACTCTGTAGAAGTTGGCTTGCGCCACCGATATTATTCATAATCAAGGTTTTATTTGGGGGGGGGGGGGGGGGCACTGCGCTTGTGGTGCGGGGGCTGTTGGGCGTTTTGCTTCACCAGGCTTTACAAACCTTGCCAATTGGGGCCGTGTCGGGTGGTTGGTGGGTTAACGGCACATTTATGTTGACGCGATCTCTCACCCGATAAAAAAGCCCCTTTTATAATGGATGCGAGAGACGAAGTAACAAAAAAAACCAC